TTTCAAAATTCAATTTTAAAAGGTTTTACGCCCGGTAATATTACAAGTGACTCTTGTTAGAAGCAACTCCCAAAAACCCAATTATTATCATAAAAACATTGTGCCAAATAAGATTCCCAAAATCATTTGTGATATTCTCTTTTGGAGGAAGAGGTTAATTCTCTCAAAACGGCACGTTTTTCGTTAAAGACAAATCAACATACTGTTATTTAAAAAATAAAGTTTTCCTTCAGAATAGCACATTTCTTTCATGAGAAGTACAGTTTGGGACAACCTTTCTCCAAAAAAATGTATGTGTTTCAAGAAAACCAGCAGAAAATTATTTAAAATGCATAATTTGTTTTGCTAAAGTGGAACATTTCATGCTAATGAGATTTAGTAGAATTGTGTCTTTGGAGTTCTGGGTCAGACCTTGAAAACTTTTTGCTTCAAATAACTTCTTATACCAGCATTTTTTTTTTTTACAAAATTTTACTTGCACGTCATTTTACCTAATTTTTTTTCCAGATGATCCAGGGACACCACCAGACTTCGAAGCAAACTTTGGCAGAGGAGTAGATGAAGGGGACAGTCAGTTTTTCATGTGAATATTTTTGTAACACATTTGAAAAAGGTTAAGTAAAATCTTCAAATTTATTTTTCCTTTTCACAGGTATGCTCATTCGCCAAACCAAAATGAGTATGAATTTGGATTCAGGAAAGGAACAGAAGACCACTTCCATGAAAGATACGAAAAAGCAGGGCCTAATTCGAACTTCAAGACAAAAGTGAGGCAGTGATAAAAACAAATTCCTGTGCAAAAAGGCAAAAATCAAATGAAGACATTTTTCATCAGTAAATTCTTTTCCAGCAACTGTTCACTATGATATCATTCCTTAAATAACCTAAATTCTCAAATTTCTTTTAAAATATTTGTGTTTGCATAATTCTACTCCATTCCATCAAATATGCTGCTTGTATTTTTGCAAAGGATGGGAAGAAGTTCTTGTTACTTGGAAGATCTATTACAATGATTTATGTATATTCTGGTCATCTCAAATTACCGTATTTACTTGAGTACCATGTGTCCTCAAGTAAGGCGCACACAGGGGTTTTTCAGTTGAAAATTTTGCAAAAATCTTATCCCTGAGTAAGACGCCCACCCCAATTTTTAGTGAATCTAAAACCATAAAATTTCAAAAATAAAAACAAAAAATTTGAATTTAGGCATGAATTGAACAAAAATCTGATCAATTTTCAACTTTTTTAGTACAAAAATGTTTTTTTTGTTATATTTGTTCCAAATTTCTCCATCATAACTAAGTATAATGCACACATATAACTTCCTAAAACTTCTTGAAAATTTTGTACCCGCTTATGACGAACATCCCTTTTTTTCTTCTGAAATGCAGGAAAAAAAGGTGCACATGGTACTTGAGTAAATACTGTAGTAATCAATATACCAACCATGAAACCTATTCAACCAAGGACAACTTCATAAACATTTTGAAACATTTTTTAAATCATCATTTGTGAAAATTAATTGTTTAAATTTTTAAAAATAATTCATGTTTAAAAAAGTCTACAAAAAGCTAAATTAGTTACCGTGTACTCATCATTCAGGTCCGTTGGGGAGACCGAAACGGAGGATACGGGGAACATTACTGGGACTTCAACCACGTGGAACAACCCACGCATGGCAACACTGCGACAGGCACAGGCCCGGGTTTCGCACCTCCGGCATATGGCCACACTTTCGGGCGCTCAGCTGGCGACACTGACGGTCCTGCGGCTGCCAGTCCGCAAAATAACCCACCACAATCGGGAAGCAATAACTATGTCAACCAACCTCAAGCAACGGGTGCCATCAGAACCATTCAGGCTCCCAATTTAGCCCTACAAACAGATCCAGAAGACACAGCTGAAGCGAATTCTGTTGTTGATGATGAACCTACTCCGGAAAGAAATCCCGCCACCAGGGGGCGCAATGGTCGGCGTCGCAGGCAAGTTGAAAGAACAAAAAGAAAGAAAATTCTAGAATGAGTTATCAGATGCGCATATAGATGTTTCTTTTTTTAATAGTGTAAAATTCTGATTTTGAAACAGAGGAAGCACTTACTGTCCAGAAGTTGTGTATAGAATAATGAATCTGGGTACCATGAGTTCCCATGCATAAATTCAAATTTTTAGGGACCAAGGAAAAATTTTTAACTAGGGATGTTTTGAATTAGGGAGGTTTTGATTTTTGGATGTTTTGGGTTAAGAAAGCAATCATTTTTGATGCAAGGATAAGTTTAAAAAATGCAGGAAATAGTAAATAAGGATATTCTGGGCCTAAACTAGCTTCTTAATGAGTTTACAGCTTGCTGAACTTAGACACAGCGGTTCATTATTGTTCAATTTAGTCTTTCAAATCCTTTCTTCAAGATGCATAAAATCATTTGTTTCATTGCTTTTCTCTTCCATGTTTCAAAGAAATATTAATAATAAGGCCTCAGAAAATTAAACTTACAGAGATTTAAGAGAAAAAGACTTTGATCTAGGGATGTTTTCACTGTATTGTTTCTAAGGGAATTCATAAGGGACTTGAAGCAAAGCTGAGCTAGCTGGGAAGTATTCAGATGAGGGAGGTTTGACTTATGGAGGTTAAACTGCATAAAAAATGGTCCATAATGTATCCCATATAGAAGATATTTTTACAATGAAAAATTCATTAATTTAAAATGTAATTGAATTATCAAATTTATATTAATTTGAGAAAACTCTTTGATGTGGAACACCTGGGTGCTGTTTTTTTTGGGTGTGCCTTCTTTTTAATGTACAGGTCTTTTAATTTTCAAGCAGAATGCACACATTAAGAGGGATACCTTATTAATCTGCAATTGTGTGAAATGACAAATAACCAAACAAATTGAAAGGAAAAATGCTTGGACTGAGAACCAAATTACAGTTTAAAAATTACTTTGATGCCAAGAAGAATCCAAATTTTCAAAGTAAAAATCTGAAAATTGAACAATGAATGCCCCTAGTGCATTTAAAAACTCAGCCCAAACAAATTTAGGCTGATCATAGTTTTTGTGATTACAAAGCTATGCATAAGAGAATTAATTTTTTTCAAATGTCCATGTCAGGAACAGGAACAGACCAAGGGAAAGACCGCAGCAAGCCAATAATAACAATGATGGAAGTTTGAGAAGACTGTTTAGGTGGCCCTTCCAGAATTTGGGAAGATCAGACAGTGTCCAGAATCCCTTCACATCCAGAAGTGGATTCGAGCCCTCCAGATGGCGCCCTGAACAATCCAAGTTTGCAGACCCAAGAAACCTTGTTAGACCAAGGGCTAGAGACAACTTTCAGCAGGATACAGTGAAACCATCATCAGTGGAATCCAATCATCAGCAGCATGATGTCCAAAAAGTCACCGACTCTGCTGAGGATTTAAAATGGCAGCCGTCATTTGCAAATTCCGATAAAATGGCGGATGATCCGTTGAAAAATGGGAACCTGGAAACTTTGTCGATTTCTGAACTGGAATCCCTGCTTCAGCGGCTGAAAAGAATCCCCAAGGGTAAACCAGCAGAAACTACGACAGAAATCTTGGAACACTCGACGACGTCAACGGAAAATTATTCAACGAAACCTTCGACAACCACAGAAAAACTGCAAAACCCCGTGAGACCAAAAACGGTTGTCAGAAGAAGCAAGAAAAAGTCTAAGAGCGAAGAACTTTTCGGCAATAACAACCCGCATTTGGCATTTGATGTGCAAAATGGGAGGGTTTATGAGCAAAAAACCGGACGAGTTTTTCGTCTGACTCCTGTTGCCAAATAGACCTATACAGACAGTATATAGACATTACAAAAGGCACAGTTTTTCTACATTGTTCATGTCTGATTATTTAAAACGATGAAGTTACTGTGGAATACAATTCTGGAGATCCCTTGTTTGTCTGTTATTCATGGTTTTAATTTTCTTTCAGAACCCTCCATCTTTTGTCAAGTGAAAAAAATTGATTGTCATAAAATTAATGAGCATCCAAATTTTCTCCACACCTACATTTTTTCAGGAATGTTATAAATTTATTTTAAACCAGATGAACCTTCATTTCATGAAAAACTGGGGGGTTCCCAGCCACACCTGGGCATTGGGACACATTTTACGTTAATTCATTTTTATGTAAAAGTAGCTCATTTGCATAGTGACACCAATTTTGCAGAGATTTTTTTTTAAGTTGAACCATTCACAATGTTTACATGTTGAAGGACCACTGGTAATCTCATGCTTGTGCTCAATGCACAATGCATTTTTTCTCCACGTATAAATTTTTTAAAGGAATTTTACAAAATTATTTTACACCAGATGAACCTTTATTTCATGCTTGGCAAAACCTATAACAAAATTAGTTTTAATAAAATACCCTCAGAAAAGGTGTGATATACTAAAAGATATATAATTCAGGCACCTTTAAAATAAAAGGCACTGCTGAAAATGGTTGTAGCGCTTACTAATTTCTTGCAATATATTTGCAAATTGTCTCAAAATCAGAATTCAAAGAAGTTACAGCAGCAGATTTTCCCCCCACATTTTTGGCGCGAAATAATTGTTGAAATCAAATATGTGAAGTATTTATCATTATGATGAAATAACCATTGCGTTGTGTGATGACCAAGAAAAGACCTTCAAATGATGACTTCATAATGAAAAGGGGACACTGAAAAAAAGCTCTAATTTAACTCACCAATTCAATCAATTTACAACATTTCACTGTAATAAATGAGCAATAAGATTTAAACCATCACCTTTGAAAATTTGTCAAAAGTGAGCTTTACAATCATTTTTATTCAAATTTTCTTACATATTTATCATTCAACTTGGAACAACCTTCAAAATGAAACCTGCTCTGTAATTTAAGGACAGGTGAACAACTGAGATTTCGGCAGGTCCGATTTTTCAGTCACACCCCAGTTGAACAATATGTGCTATTAAATTCGAAAAGCTAAACATTTAATAAATGTCTAAACCCATATTTTATCCATGAAAAAAAGAACACGAAGAATCTTTTCTATTTCTTCTTCTTCCACAACCACGAGTCCATGATTCTGAAACGTATATTTGCTCAATCCAAACTTTCACTCCCATCGTCAAACCATGCATTTACACATTGCAAAATTTCCAAGAAGAATTAGTAAAAAAAAAAAACAAGAAAGAAAAAGAAAGAAGGAATCAACTCCTTATGATGGACACTTGAGGACCCACTGGGGCAACAAGATTTCCGAGAACATCTTCCAGGTGTGCAATTTCCTCTTCCAAATAATTGGCGATCGTGACAAGGTCTTCTTTGCGTCGCAGATTGCTGGAATCTGCCACAACTGACACGAACAGTTTGCCACTGTAACCAAATGTCATCACACCCAATCCTGAAGTGACAAAAAAATTTGAATAGAAAATGTAAAATAAAAATCAAGTGAAGTCTAATATTTTCCAAGAAGAAAAATAAGCGATTTCAATCAGAACACTTTTTTCTTATTTCCAAAAACCACTTCGTTTTAAATTTTAAACTTGATGACTACTGTATATCCAATACTTTCTTTTGAGAGGCTCAAAACCGGATTTTTATGACCAGAAATAATTTCTTAGAACTTGAAAATAAGATTATAGTGGGATTTTCGGCAATTCAGACTCCAAAAAAAGAGAAAAAAAATTTCAAAACTTTATTTAATCGATAACCCAGCTACTTCACTTCTTTTTCAAATCTTCATTGCTTGCAAGTTTTTCAACATAACTCAATTTTAAATTCAAAATCGTACGCAAATAACTCACTAAAATGCCTACCGTTATTTTGAGCTGTGCCTTAATTATTGCGGAAAGTTTTTATACTGTATTTTTGAATTAATGCTTGAGGGAAATCGTACTGCATTTTAATTAAAATTTTGCAGAACAAACCACACCCAGTGATGAATTAGTTTCTTCTTTCGTGAAAACAATCTGTTCAATTTCAAAATAATTTTCAAGTCATCTCATCCGCAGGTATTCGGAATAATCGGCATAAATACGTCATTTTAAGACTTGAAACTCAAATCCAATACTTTCTTGTTATTAAAATAAACTATGGTACATATATAGCTTTCGAATTTTCAGTTACTGAATTTTTGGGGCAGAAAAGCGAGAGAAACACGAACCCGAAGACCCGAGTTGAGGCGGGAACGCATAAATTCGCTTGATGACCCTTCCGAGAACCCGAAGGCTTTTCATTGGACCCCGAACATTGCTGGTGTTGACACTCACGCCCTTGGGCGGACTCAGGATGGCATTGGCAACACTGGCTGGCAACGCATTCACCAACAACACCTGGGCCATGTACAAAGGGAAGCCCAGGTTCCAAATTTTCACATTCACGTCGATTTCCCTGCGACGAGCCATTAAACTCCCGACCACGTCCGAAGATTTCGTCAGTCTCGGCATGTTACAACTAGAAATTAAAACAATGACCAACATACATCAGACAGAAATTCAAATCTCTTCTATGTATCCCTGAGTAATTAAGATAATTAAGTTCCTGAATAACAAGCCTTTATAGAGGCATTTTTAATAGTCACTTCTTGGATGGCGCAATTCAATTCAAACGATCCCAAAAATTTTCCATTTTTATTCCCAGCATCAGGATTCTTGATAAATTTATGTACTGTACAACAGTTTTTATTTTATTTAACCCTTTGTTATTTTGATATTTTTTCCAGAACATTTTAACCCTTCTGTAGCAAAATTGGACTTTTTTTGCAGATTTTGGGTGCGCTCAAGAATGGCATTTAAAATAACCATGACAGTGCAAGCAGGACGAAGTTGGGGAAAATTCTGGCATTTTTAAAATTTCCCAAAGAAAAGTTTCCCTTGGAAATGAAATGTTCAAGGCTCACTTTATTTACCCTGACCTTGTGTTGCTCCCCCATTCAATGATTAAATTCAAGCTTGAAAGCCAGGAGCACAGGTTAGAGGTCAATGTAGAAAAAGTCCAACTTAGGACTTTCCCAGCATTTTTTTAAATCCCTGGATAAAATCTGACCTTGCCCTTCCCCTCCTGGTACGGGTTGCATAACCTTGTGCAAAAATTTTATGCAGGCCCAAGGAGAAAAAGTCCAACTATATGCCCTGGGATGGAGAGGAGGCTGCCGCCATCCAAGGGTTAAAAGAACAGGTTACATTACTTGTTATTTACAAAATGAAATTGAGACATTTATTGTATACAGTTGGTACCTTGCAATTTGACCATCCTGCAATTCTTTGGTCAAATCTGCTGGGAGGTCAGCTCTCAATTTGACCTCTGCTGCACAATTCAACCCATAAAGATACATGAAACATCAAATGCCGCATAAAAAATTTGCCATTTGATGTTGTCTCACAATTTGACTGCTTTGCAATTTGACCCTATTGTCCAGCAACAGATTGGGGTTGAATTGCAAGGTACCACCTGTACTATGTCAAAATGTCATGCATTGTTTGATTGTAACTTTTGCATTTGTCTTCCGATACAGACAAACTTAATGTGCTTTATATACTGTAATGATAAATTGATAAAAATTCAGTGGATTTTGATGCAAAATAACTTTGTTTATTCTGTATTCCTTCAAAAATTTAAAAGTTCAATTGTGTTAAATTTTGAAATACTGTACATGCTTTTTTCACGCATGTTCATGAATGAATTTTTAAAGAAACTATTTCTTGCAACAAAAAACCTAGACTCAGAAATTTTAGTTTATGATGGCTTATTAACTGCTTCTTCACCTCATAGAATTTCCGGACTCACATGAATCAAGTGACAAAAAAAAAATAAAAATAAAATAAGGGTATATTAATAAATAAATAATATAAATAATATATATATATATATATAAATAATCAATAAAAAATTTGCGTAATCTAAAATTCAGTTTTTTAAAACTTGCTTCTGTCAGCTTTTTTCGTTTTTTAACAACATAGCCTAAATTTCGATTCCTGAGATTATCCGATTGATCATCACTGTAATCTCTTTCAAATATTATTTAGGATTATTCAAGTTAGAAATTTTCAAAATCTGCGAAGTTCCTGCTTCCTCTCTGTTTCTCACCGACACAAAGCAAACTTGTTTTCAAAGTTATCCGGGAACTTTGTCCAAAGCGACACAGCAGTCATGTCCGACAAAGAATACTTTTGGCTCGCCGAATCCGACGTGATTTGCCGCAAATCCGGAGTTATGTATCGCCAAATGGCTCTCGAAGCAGCAGTTGACACTATATCGTTGATGGTCAATCCGCCGAAAAGATTTCGCACAGTTTTCATCGTCCCAATCGGAATCGGCGGAAGGAAATGCACGGATTTTTGGCCGGAAAGTCGATTCTTGTGCATGGGGTTTTTGTCCGGATTCGTCCTCCATCTTTTCATGCATAAATATCCGCAAAAATTAATTTCTTCAGACGTTTCCAATGATAATTCGAAGCATCATCTTGTCAATTTCACCATAATTAGGCAGGGAAAAAATCACGACGCTGAATTTATTAATTAAAATAAAGGAGAAATTCATTTTCCGCGTCTCTGTTTACGAATTTCAGAGAGAAACTTGAAGGGTTTTTTTAAAATTTCCAATGCCTTTTTCTTGTTGATTTTGGATCAAGAAAAAAAGAACTAAGCTCAAATTATAGCATAATTTACCTAAGGAAAACAATTGGCGCAGTAAAAAAGCCGAGAATCCATGCGAAAATTGTTTTGATCCAAATAACGCCAGCTGGTGGAAATTCCGGGAGCTCGTCGCCAAATTTCTTCGCAAAATCTTGCTGGCTTTCGGAATCCACGTTGCTTTTGTAATTGTTGTTGTTATTGTTGGTGTAGTGTTTGATCACTGGGGCAACATCTGCAGATTTCCCTCGTGAAATTGACGAAGGTTCGTCATCCACGAAATTTGGCAAAAGAGCAAAACACAGCGAAACTCCGTCTCCGAGGCAGTGATGAGCGCGGAACCAAATTGCGGTCTCCTCTTCTTTTTCTTGACAAGCATTTCGATTCAAGCTGATGATTAGAAAAAATTATAACTTTAAATAGAGTACAGTATTCAAAAGTACTGTATTTCATCTCTTAGCTTGCGGAATAAACATGAGCCAGAGGCTGGAATATCATTTTGAGAATCCCGACACGAACTAGAAAATAAACTTGGCAAATCAACCCAAATTTTATGCAAGGGAAATCTTTCTTCCTCAATTATAGCCTAATACAGTATGTGGAAAACCCCCATTCGGCAAATCTAACGAAATATTTATGAACCTTTCCAAAATAGTTAAAGTGCTCATAAAATTCAAAACAAGGACAAGAATTCGAAGCATAAATTGCTCAAATATTAACATAATCCAACTGAGATTCATGCTCATTTCCAGAAATCGTATTTATTTCCACATCAATAATTTAAATGAAAATAAATTTGCCATGTTCTTCGGCAATCGCTTTCAAAAAGAGGGTGTTTTGAAAATGGCAATGTCTACCATAAAATTAATTATATAAATCGAATATATTAAGAATGAATCAAAATCAATTCAATTGGACTTTTTTCGACCCCAAACTCGGCTTTCTGGGATTAAAATGCTGAAAATATTGACGCCTGGTAAAAGAAAATAAATTGTTTCAAAATTTCAGGAGATGTGTAACACTAGGAATGAACTCACTCATCATTCGATCGAAAACTCGAAAATGAATCCGTTGTGTTGCTGTTGTTAATCCCGGATTTTGTCTTGTGAACCCAGCAAATTTCCCAAGGCGAGGATTTCTTCGGAAAAGGTTTATTAACATGAGAGTTGAATATTTGTAAAAGGTCCTTCTCGTCCTTGTATGTTATTTCTGTGCCATCCAACCTGTGAACAAAAATTTCAGAAATATTTCCAGGCTCCCCATTTCGACGCGTATTCTAGTAACTTGAAGATTATTTAGATTTAGACGACATAGATTTTCACTGCCAGCCAAGCGAAGGAAATTTTCTCAAAATTTTAATGATTACTCATAAAGTTACAAAATATGAGGAGAGGGCACCAAAAAATCCATACATTTTTCATCTCCTCGTCTTCAAATACGCGTGCTAATTTTTCAACCACTGAAAAATAGCAGCCTTTTCTGCCACACCACAAAAAAATTTCCTCGGAAATTTAAAGATAAGAAGCCTAAAATTTCACTTGAACAGCAGTCTGCAGGAATGCAGGAAAATGCCACATATAGCATTAAATGATCTTTTTTCTTACAAAAGTTTTTTTGCAAGAAAATAATATAATTTTTTGCGGATTTTTCCCAATTTTGGCTCTGGGGATCATGCTAGGTATTTCCTTCTCTCCTTTCACCAGTGGCACAAAATTTTGCAAATAAATGTTGGCAGTGCCACCCGAGGGTCAAAATACACTTGAGCCTTAATTGAACCTCTCCAAGTCAAATACTGTACCTTCCTTTTTTAATTTTTTCAAGTCCCTTTCTGAATTCCCTCACGAAAAATGCATTCAAAACCTCTGTAACTCAATGGCTTTCCCCCCCTCAAACCTCCATAACTCAAATATGCAAATGAACCCTTGCCTCCAACTTCAGCATCCTGCTGTCAGCTCATTTAAAAATCAATTCAAGATCCAATATATCACAATTTAAAATTTATATAGCAATTGGGATATGGACAAATCAAGATAGACAATTCAAGACTGGACAAAAGGTGACAGAAAATTTGCAACAGGGCCAATTGGAGACAGGGACAATTGGAGACAGGGACAATTGGAGACAGGGACAATTGGAGACAGGGACAATTTGAGACAGGGACAATTGGAGACAGGGACAATTGGAGACAGGGACAATTGGAGACAGGGACAATTGGAGACAGGGACAATTTGAGACAGGGACAATTGGAGACAGGGACAATTGGAGACAGGGACAATTTGAGACAGGGACAATTTGAGACAGGGAGTTTAATGGCTCGTCGCAGGGAAATCGACGTGAATGTGAAAATTTGGAACCTGGGCTTCCCTTTGTACATGGCCCAGGTGTTGTTGGTGAATGCGTTGCCAGCCAGTGTTGAGACAGGGACAATTTGAGACAGGGACAATTTGAGACAGGGAAAATTTGAGACAGGGACAATTTGAGACAGGAACAATTTGAGACAGGGACAATTTGAAACAGGGACTATAATTGAGACAAAAACTATTTTAATGAGGAGAGGAATCTGCTTAGGTTGGCTCAAAGATTTGAGGTCCTTCCTTGATGAGTTTTTTCCTTGATGATGAAAACTCACTCAACAGTGATGATAGACAAAAGGAGAAACACCCTGGGATCATGGACTTTTCACTGAACAGTGCAATTTTTGTTAATTTTCACACCTTAAACATAAGATAATAGGGAGAAACGCAGTCATCATTTTGTTGCAAAATGCTGTATCTGTATAAAAATGTCTCAAATCCTCAAAATGTATTTGTCTAAATTGGCCCATGTCTCAAACAGTCTCAGATTCAAAGTGTCTTCAAAATTTTCTGTTTCAACTTGTTCTTGTCTCAAAAAGTTCCCATCTCAAATTGTCCCTGTCTCAAATCGTCCCTGTCTCAAATTGTCCCTGTCTCAAATTGTCCAAGATCCCTTGCAATTATTTCTTTTATCTCGGAACAAAACTGGCCTTTTCCATAACTCCATCAAAATATCCCTATATAACCCTATATATATGCTCAATTTTTTGCTTGCTGATCCTTTGAAGTTTGGCTATGCTATTTATTGAAATCCTGTTATGACAGCATCTGAAGAAAATAAAAATGAAATCTTCCACACAGAATCAAAACCCTAGGTATAATTTGTTTCTTGCTGGTCACAACAATATTTTGACTGTTATATCAAAACCCTGTTCAGCTATGCATTTGAAAAAGAAAACAAATTCCAGTTCAATTAACCCTTGGACAGCAGAGTGTTCTTTCTCAGGGCACAGCAGAGTCAGGGTTTTTCTGGGGGGGGGGGGCTGCGCATTTCAGTTTGACCCAAGGTTACTGAAATGTGCCCAGGTTGAGGAGGCCTAAGTCAGGAAAAATCCTGGAAAAAATTTTTATTTTGTTTGCAAGATTTTCCCATGCAGATCCTATGCCAGGAATGCAGGAAAAAATGTCACCCAGCAAGGGATTTTTTTTTAATTTTCATTGAAAATTTTCTGCAGGATCAGAAAAAAATATTGAACTTTTCCCTGACTTAGCCCTTGGTAAGAAAGTAAGTTTTTTTTTAATTCCCAGTGCCCAGCAGTGGCACAAAATTTTGCAAAAATATCCCCACTTCCCTGTAAAAGGGTTAAAATCCTGCCCTTCCCCAAAAACCCACCTGTTGACTGGACCGACGTGGTTCGAGACGCTGAACCGCTTCAAGCGGCGCCAGAAAAAGTAGCCGAACCGTCGCACGGGATACCGCTTCAACTTTTCAAAACTCCTCTTCCTGTTCCTCACATCGTCCCCATCATCATCATCATCATCGTCGTCCACTTGATCAAACACCTTTTGAAACTTTCTCAGAATCTCCTGGCTGTCCAATCGTCCTTCGACGAGCACCAAGACCGAGATGACCGGTCGGTTCTTGGACGCATCCACTCCGGACAAACAACACGCCGCATCCGCACTCGCCATGAGTCTGTACTTGTCGTTCGTCACCAGTGGCACCAGGGCTGACAAAACGGCCTTGAAGACCACGAGCACCACCAGAGCCGGGCACAGGACCAGCGTGGTGCAGTACCACAGCAGGCAGAAGGCGCCAGTCGCCAGAATCCGCAGCATTTATATATTTTTTTCAAATTTATAAATATAATTCAAGGCGCTTTATTCGCGGCGCGCACGGTTTTTTCAAGCCGAGGTTATTCACGATGAGAAAACAATGTTCAATCTTCGGATTTCTTCTTTTGACTATGCCGTTTTTTTTCGCACACACACACACAGCAGTGTTCGGCGAGAAATGACGTTGTGTATATATCGAACAACAATAAGAGCCAACATATACACAGGAAAGAAACACAGAGTATGAAAGATTCAGGGATGAGACCGTGGGTCTGACTACAATAATGAAGAAGGAACGATGAATGGATTATTGAGCGTCTCGAACTTGGTCTTCGATTCGCGTCAACTTTGCCTGACTTGTTTTCTATGTGTGTTGTCAGTGTTGCCAATTCTGTTTTTAAAAGAGACAGAAATATTTTTTAAAAATGTGACCGACTTTATGCGTTAGCAACGGCAGATCAGAAGCTCGACACAAAAGCTGGTCTCCATTAATTCTCAAAATTAATGAAGACACCCGCTAAACACAAAACTAGTCTGAATTAGTTCAGTCTAAATTTTAAGGGGGGGGGGGAGGAAAAAGCCTTGTAAGTAAAATTGTTCCAAGATTGAAATATACATTTTTGACCTAGTTCAATTGTGGTCCCCATTAATTTACGAGGTAATTAAAAAGACCCGGAAAACGAACACTTGTGCTCCAAATTTTTTTTTTACAGGGAAGAAGAGGGACTCAAACATAAAATTTGTTCACAAAACAGAACTTTTTAAACCAAAACGTTTGAGTGTTAGCCCATTTTGAGTTATAAATCTATTATGTTCAATATCAAGTCTGAAACGAAAAAATATGAGGATAGAGTTTTCTCCTTTTTTATGGTCCTGAAAATTTGTACATTTTGGGAAGTTAGAAGACTACCGGATTGCATCGACTTCATATTCTTGAATTTATATACAGTATATATACATATTCAAAACATCATGCGTAAGATCGAAAGAAAAATTGCGTTCTTACAAATTCCAAGCGAAATATCGTTTCAATACAATACCTCACAAAATAAGGAAGTAGAACGAATTCATGCCTCGTGTCGATGAGTCAAACATGTATTGAGCAGAAAAGAAAATTGGCAACACTTCGATGAACCGTGCAAAATTCATACCGAATTCTTCAGCAGTGTCACGTGTGCGGCTGAAATTACCTGATTCCACAGAATACATGTAAGTCCAAAGAGGGAACAACAGCAAATACAGTCCCGAAATATTGACTGTGGTCAAAATACTCTCGATTTAGAGGGAAAATGGCCCTTTCAAAATTAACCCAGAAATAATGACGGGAAACTTTAAAAGAAAGGTTGATTCGTCAAAAATTAATCCATCGACCAAAAATTCGTAGGTCCTTGCGGTATGAAAGCCTCAGTTTATTTTGCAGGTTATTTAAAAAAAACAATCGCAGTCTGACCTCACTTAATTTCAGCGCCAGCAGAACAGGTTGAGGTTACTTTGCAAATTGTGAATATTCTGCGCTTCCTGCTTCCCGAATAATTGCATGAATAAATAAAAAAACATAATTTAAGGAACAGGAATAACAGTTCGCAGTGGAACTGGATTTTTCTTGTCACGTAACCTTAATTTATCTCACCGTTTCTCTCTGGAATAAATTAAAAATAAATTCCTCTTCGGATAAAAAAAATATATAAAAAAGCACGTGCATGAACTGGAATTGTTGATCGCTTACAACTTTTCTTAAAATTGGCTGACATATACTGATGAGTTAAATTATAACTAAATCCTGCAAATTTCTACCAAAAAAATCGGAAAAAGTTCGATACGAATTCGGGAACATTTCACGAAACAGGGCTGATCACGACCAACGAAGATTTTTAAAAGCATAAATTAGCAGAAATTCAATATCATTTTGACATTGAATTGTCTAAAAAGAATATTCCGGAAAAAGTTCGTTACAGAGAAAATTTCATTGTAGACAACCCTCATAACATGGGTAGAAAACCTTATGGGAGCAACAAAAAATATATTGTTGTACAAAGAAAATCCTGTTGACAACATTTTTGTACAGAGAGTCTAACAGCAGTATTAATTTACAGACAAATTTTCACCAAACATTCCACGAATTTCGTCCTTCCTTCGGCTTCATGAAACAAAATTTCAGCAGATTCCCTCCATGATTTTTGATCAAAAGTTTTCTTAACTATGCAGTTATCAACTAAGCAAAAGTCATTAAAATATTGTAAAATAAAGCTTATATTATACCTGTATTAGAAAAAGGAACAGCAGGGACGATGTTTTATTCAAGTCCGTGCTTTGTGCATTCGGTCAAAAACTACAATATTATTTACAGCAACTGAAATCACAGTTTTTTATTGATAAGTTGATGAAATGTACGCACAGTATTAATTTTGATTTTATGCCAACGCAATTTATTATTATATTTCGTCCTGTCTTCAGTTTTAACTTTTAACACAAATGCACATTATTGTGAATTTTTCGTCCGTTATAATAAAAATGTGATTACTGCGAACTACGAGTGACACCTATGAAACTTTGCAAATGTTAAACTTGTTACAAACAATCATAGGGGACGCGTTTGATCGAATTCCATCAATTGGGGAACTACGCTTACTTACTTAGCAAAAGTTTCTTTAAAATCCGAAGGTCCAGCACTCGGACTAATAATTTTGTAACGATATATTTCTGTAAATTTGAAAGTCAACTGAAAATCAACGAAAATGCGTTTTATTTTCATCGTCCAGCATATATAGCAACAAAAGTTCAGTTTTAATACAGTAAAAGTAATTGCTCCATTGTGTCTGCTTTTGGTCACGTCACAGGTTTCCACAAACAAAAACTGTTCTGTACGGAAAAAAAAATTGCGACTTACCCTAGAGATGAAATACAATGAATTAAAAAATGTTTTGCTTCGGATCAAATTGCCAAATGTAAATCCGAATTTCTGTTTCCGAATACATTAAAAATTGCACAATCGCTTGTTGAAATCAAGAAAGATGCAAATAACATTTTTTAAATTCAAACAATACTTGCTAATACTTCATATAGAAACACAGTGAAATTACATTAATTTTCAAGATTGGAGAGTAAATGCAAATTCCGAAAATCAGAAAATTTCACGTTCGAAAATTATTTTCCTGCGAAAAATGTTCCCGATCTTTCCTATATCCTTTCTCTCTTTGAATTTCCACTTGGTAAAATTTTAAGATATTGGTGAAAAAGCGAGTGACGTTTTATTAAATTAGTTTCAGCCTTGAAAATTTATTTTGAATAAAGATCAAGTTTCGTTCCAGTTTTTAAAATATATAGGTCAAAACTCGGCGTTTAACTTGAAACTACGCAAAATTTAACGAAGCGAATTTAATGGGTCATGATTTCAGGCTCATCTGAAATTCTGCGAAATTCCCAAAATATCGTTGAAAATGAATTTTTCAGATTCCTGTATCCAGCGACATCTGTGCAAATGAAAACGGGACAAATATTCTTCATCGACTTCACTGACTCGTCTCCAGCAGCAGCAGCAGCTGAAACCCCACTCGCCGAAAGAAAACTTTGCGCCATTGAATCCGCAGCCAGATTGCATCCCAAAAACATCATTTACCTGGTCACCAACTCTGCCAAGATTAAACTCAGCAAGGCCCTCAGAATCCTCATACGAACATACTCAAATGTCCGCTTCATCATCTTCGACTCGGATCCGTTTTCCGCATTCGGAATTGACCCGGAGTCGGATTCGAAAAATTTGCACGCTGCGGAATTGGCGCGATACTCGTTGCTGCTGTCGCATGGCGGCATTTACCTGGACCTGGATCAAATCGTGGTCAAGCCAATTATCGGGAAATTCATCAGGAACACACTCGGCAGACAATTTGACGATGAGGGAAATATTTTGTTGTCTGGACACGTGATGGCTTTTCCTCCTGGACACGATTTTCTGGAGCAGGTCATGCTTCAGGTGAGATGATTTTACCCCCAGGTGAAAAGTTGAAAAAATTAAAACCATAAATTCATCATTATTCCCTAAATATACGCAGAATATTCCATCAATTCGGCCTCAAAGAAAGTTGACTTCAGCATTAAATAAAGAAAAAATATAAAAAATCATACTGTATAAGCAAAAACAGTCAAATTATTTTTGGATTCCAGCCTTTTTGTGTGGCGGGGTTTGAAAATTAAAAGAAAAGCATCCCAGGACTATAGTTTTCAAAAATCACTTTTTAGGCTTCTCAAATTATTCAGTTTTGGCTTCAGTGCAAGATTTGAATAGAATTCAGTGAAAAAATTCAGTGAAAAAACTAGCTCAAACCCTACTGAGTTGATGAAATGAAGCAAGTATTTTTTATTGGAGCTTGAGCAAATTTTTTCTCTAAATGGAATATTTTTTTAATGAAAATCATCCTGGAGGATATTAGTGTTCTTATATGCACAGCAGTGACACACTAGAATTTAAAAGGTAAAAAAGAAACACAAATGCTATTCAAGCGACACCTACATAACAATAAGTAAAAATCAGAGATCTGGGACATCTGATAGTCTGATGAAATAAAACTTAGAATGTCCATGAAAAAAAAATTATAATTTCTCACTTTTTCTCATAATAAGGCACCATCAAGCTACTCTTCAACTGACAACAGTTCTCTTGGATCATCTCTTTTGAACAAGATTTACAACTCTGAATTGAAGTTGTTCTGCAGGTAACTTTAGGGTCGTCTCGAGTGGAAACTGATGGACTTGTTCTGGTTACAAGCCTTACGAAAGTCGCTTCTACTGCCCTAATTTTACTTCCGGTTTTGACTCTTTCCTTAGATTTTTGTGGTGCATTATTGGGGCAGTGTCACTAATGGAACAATGATTGAATTAGCGTCAACCCAATTGTTGGCACTCTTGGCCTGGTCTCATTGTCCTATGGTCAGTAAGAAGTCCAAAGGGTTCATGTAGTTATAAACTTATAATTCATTAAGGGTATTATGATATGAAATAAACTCCATACAATAAGAAAAAAAGAATTTTCACTGGAACATAGCAAAAATTAAAGTTGCTTTTTCTTTTGCAGTGCCTAAAATTTTTAGTTATACAGTAGAGTTTACATGTGAACTATGTTATAAAAATCTTGCTGAAACAAAAAAAAAAAGAATTTTCACTGGAACATAGCAAAAATTAAAGTTGCTTTTTCTTTTGCAGTGCCTAAAATTTTTAGTTATACAGTAGAGTTTACATGTGAACCATGTTATAAAAATCTTGCTGAAACAAACTTATTTACAACTGTAATTTCAACAGACAAATATATTGCCCTGAATGTGTCTAAGCCATAATTATGGTATATTTATTATAATAGGTATACAAATAAAATCTAATTTTTGTAGCATGAACAGTTAAGCAAAAAGAAAAAAAAATTGCCAAGCTTATTGTGAGGATAATTCAGCCTTTCATAAAATATGCAGTACAGTATATATATTATATTTTCAAAATTTCTTCAGCTTTGTCATTTCAGAATTCAGAAATGCCTCTTTTCTCTTATACTTGAACAGTATGTTTAAAAGAATATTGCTCTAATTCATGGAATATACAGTTGTGGATGCACAAAAATGAATCTTGTTCCATTTATTACTTTTTGCATTTTATGATTGATCCATGGATAAAACAAAAAAACTTTCGCTTCTCTGCATTTGCGCGACGATTTCTATTTTTGAGCTTGTTCGATTTTCTTATCATTGAATAAAAAAAACGCAAATGGAATGAAAAATAAAAATGCTCATCAGTGTGTTTCTCAGATATGTTGAGAGTTTTATTAACCCTTAAAAAATCTTTTGACAAGCAAAAAAGGGTTCTGCGACAGAAATTACGCATTTTAAATGTTTGAGCGATCAATATTACAAATTCACTGTATCTCGGGAACATTAAAAAAAATTCGTATTTCATGAATTCAACGTCGAATCAATTCTGAGCTATTTCAAAGAGCGTTAATATTTTCCAAAATTGCATGGCCGAATTTTTTTTCATTTTTTCAACGGAAGGTGCTGTTTTTTCCACTCAACCAGATTTTCCAAGTGTTTCTTCAACTTGACCGCAGAATCTCTAGCAACAATGTTTTCCTTGACAGACTTAGTTTCCGTCGTCACGATGACGTCAGCGCCAAAATTCGTTCTTTCAGTGCGTAAATCCGCCATCAAATTATTCTTAAGTCCATGAAGGTCAGTTTCCAAAACCGGAAAATTATGAAATGGTTGATTAAAAATGGCCTGTGTTTGTGCTGCTGCTGCTGATGATGATGATGGCAAATCCCTGGCAAAGTCGATTGGACCTTGCTTTGGCACAAGGAAATTATTATTATTATAATCATTCGATTTCATCTGGTTCGAAAAACTGTTGCTGTTGCTGGGTTCAGTCGCCGGTCGCAGGGTTATGAATTCGCCGAAATTATTCCTTTCGCTGATCATCATCCCGTTTTCGGTGTTGGTCGGATATGCGTCAATTATCGGAGTAATGGTGATCAATTCCGCAGTGGCCAAAGCGTCGACGGGAAAAAACGTCGCCAAAGTCGTCGTCTCGGCGTCATTATTCCTTTGGATCTCGAAAAACGCCCTGAGGTCTTGGTCGATTTTGATGGGCATTGTTTCTAATGGTTCCGGTTCTGGGTTATCATTTTTGTGCATGACGCCATTTTTCAGCATATTTCGAATTTCCAGTTGCCGTTGAGTTAAGGAATGAATGCGGTCTTCGATAAGAGACGATTCGGAATTTTCTCTGAATAGGTCGTGATGATTTGAATTTGGGACATTGGGTGACTCGAGTCTGCGTTTGATTTCAGCAGCGTTTCCGATTGCCAAATTGATGAGGTTCGAGATGGCTGGGTCTACGTGTCCCAGCGGTATTTCCGGTTTCCGGAAAACCCCCGCGGCATTTTTGGGTTCGCTTTTCGTGACCGGATCTTCCAGGACTTCCGGTTTGGCGACAGCGGATCCGTCCTGCAACTTCTTGGCTTTTCCGGCTACTACTGATTATTTAAAAAACATTTTTTTGAAATCCTTCGCTTGGAGTAAATAATTTGAATCTCATGAGCGCGAATTAACAAGTTTGAAAACATTTTTCAACACTTGGATTTGAGTCAGAAAGAAGATGAAATTGAATTTAAATATGCCTCCATTTTCTTGAATTTCGATGCTGAACAAACGTTTGAAACTATTGGAGAGAGAAAATTTTCCCCAAAAAAATTTCTCGACAAAATCTGCACTTTTCTTTTTAGAAATCGAAAGCTTGCAAAAAAAATCAGGATTCGCCTCAATAAATTTCATACTCACAGGTTCCGTCGTTTGTTTTCGGTTTGTCGATCTGACGTCCAAGTAGAAAAGGACTTTAATAAGTGCCTTTTTCTTTGAACTTTAGAAATTTTGTTGTTGAAGTTTAACATTTGTTTAAACCTTCTTAAGCAAATGGCAGACGTTAGTTAAAACTTAGATGAGGCATTTCGGTTGCTGTATTTTTGCATTTCGCAATGTTCGCCAGGTCGTTGTTTTTTGTTGCCGAATCATCCGCGAATTTGGACGTCACGCACTTTTTTGCGGTTTCATCTTTTTTGGGTTCTTTTCTGAAATATTTTGCTGGAAACAAAGATTTTCAATGGGTATTTTTAGTAAATGCATCGGAGGTACGGCATTTTCTGGCCTGTTTTCTTCGCAGAGTTTGGTTAACTCTGGCGGAAAAGTACGAATAATGGATAAAAACGGAACTTATGTAAAAATAATTAGAATCGAAATGATAAAATGATTACTGTATAGCTTTTTTAAAAGATCGAAAATAGAATCCATCGCATTGCAGTTCTAACTCAAGTGCTTTTGTCTGGAGAGAAGAACATTTTCATAGTAAAAAAAATTGGAATCGAAATGATAAAATGATTACTGTATAGCTTTTTTAAAAGATCGAAAATAAAATCCATCGCATATTGCAGTTCCAACTCAAGTGTTTTTGTCTGAAGAGATGAAAATTTCCATCGTTGGATTTTCTGCTTTCAAGATTCCAAATAAGTTTAATTCGAGTGTGACTTCGGCAAAAAAAGCGGAATTAAAATCAGAATTGAAGCCCTTCTTTGAAAAATCGGTAATAATACTCACAGCAACTAGCGGTGGTATGTTTATCTGTAGAATCCAAAATATAAAAAAAAATTGAAAAATTAGCAAAAATCCCTTCGAAATGGAGAATAAAATCACAAGCGTACATTTTTGTGCAGGTTCGTCCTTGAAAAGTTTTTTTCTCGCCGTCACCTTCGTTGGTATGCGATTGGCAGTTTTGAATTGCACTGCTGGACTCTTCGTAGTGAAAACTCCAAATCCTTTTGCAACTTCTCTCAATAACGCATTCAACATTTCCTTCCTGCGAAGGTCTTGTCGTTTTTTCTCTATTTTGGCTTTGGCTCCTGTGAAAAATTACAGGCAAAATTAACAATTTAAGAAAATCACCAGATAATTCGAAGCACTTACTCAGAATTTGCGCAAAATCCAGGCCGAGTCTTCTGGCTGTTCCAAAAATGTTTTTATTAATAATAATAAAAAAGCATTTATTTCACAGACCCCAAGAAAAAATTCGATTATAAGTATAAACTTCACTTATTTAAAAAAATACTCAATTAAAAAAACTTAGAACAGGAATTCTCACACATAATGAATGATATGGTAAATGCTGTAGTAAATAATTTAAAACTGCCAACACCTGAAAAGTACCTTTGAATAAAATAAATATTTGCAGCAGTCATTTTTTCTCTCACCTGTTTTGTCAGCGATTTCAATTTCTTCCGGATCAAGATCCTCTATAAAATACGTTCAAATAAATCAATTTAAAAGTTTCAATTGCTCGAATATAAATTTCAGACATTATTTACCTTTGATTATGGCTTTCGCAACTGCTTTCATGGCAGGATCGTCGAACCAAGTCGCAGCTTCATTCGCAGCTTTCTCCGACTGATCGAAGATCATTGAATCCACGAGAGTAGCGACATCTTTGTAAGATGCCGGAAAACACGGCTGGGCCAAAGTTAAAATCGACAGAAGCAGCAGTTGGAAATTCATGACTGTTTTTTTTTCTTTCAACGATTGTGACGCCGTTGACGGTTCGAAGATTACTGTGGAAATTGAAAGAACTCTTAGAGATTTTTCAAAAGCGGGACTCGATTGATTTTACCAATGCATTGATTGAATCAATGTTGAATCAACCAACTGTCGAGCATTTTTTCGGAAATCAAGCTGCTCTGAAATATTGTTCAAACGAAAAATTGTATAATAATCGCTGCAGATTCGGGGGATTTCATGAAGTTTGGTTAAGTGAAATGAGTTGTTTTTTCAGGATTTTTCAGCGGAAAAATGCGCAGAACCGATATCGAAATAAAAAAAAACAAGATCTTTAGTCACGGTTTGCGAAATTATTATAGACATTCATTCGAAGTGTGACTTCCCTCAAAAAAATTGATGCATCAAGTTCTTTCACATTTTAAAAATTTTATCTTAAAAAAAAACAACAAGAGGAAACATAGATACGTGAAATTTCAGCTGCGCCAAAAAATCCCTCGGAAAGGATCCTTGAATAAGAAGCCCTGAAAAGTATCAGATTTGTCCTGTATATATTATTTGAAAAATAAATCAGACCGTTTTCAATCATTTTTTATCAAATTCAACTCATAACTTCACTCCACACGAGTATGCATACGGTAATAAACTTTCAAAACATCATGGAAATTTCTTTCTCGAGCATTTCAAAGCTCAGTTTTTGCATCGCGCACAGCGGGCTTCAAGCCATAATTTTCGTGCAAATTCCTCCAGAATTCCGCAGTTTCTTTTGACAAATATTCAGTTGTCAACCTGGAGTCGGGATTGTAAACGAAAATTTTGCTGGACGTGGATCCGCTCAGAAACTTCGGCCACTTGAACATCAAACTCTTTCCATCTCCATTCGGCGTCCTTTGAAAAAAATTAATTCAATTCAGAATATTAATATTTATTTTCAAGAAATGCAAAAAAATCCTACCCATGAATGGCGAAGTTGGTAAACGTGTCCAAGAAGAGCTCTTTGACTGTCACGTCACGTTCGCACGTCAAAGGAGAAAGAAATTCCAGCTTGAATAGGTACTGCAAGTCATCTGCATGACCAGTACCTGTTGGAAAAAAAATCCAAGAACAATGCATGAATTCCTGAACAATGAATAAAATAAAAGATTCTCAGATTCTCAGAAGGCATGCAATTATTAGTTTATCTGAAGACATGGAATGATTAAATTCGCTGAGCTTTAAGCGCTGCATAAAACACTTCCACTCCACAAACAAAATTGAAATAAAAAAACTTTAAAAATCCGTTTACCTTCTGCAATTAGTTTTGAATCGTTAGGCATTTGAAAATCCCCGATTTAATAAGTGCCTAGTGTAGTGTATATACAGTATTATCCAATATAAAGAAAAAATAATGGACAGAACCTTAGAATAAACCCTTATAACCATTATATTATTTTTCAGGGATTGGTCCTACCCTAAAAAAAACAAGCATTTTCCCATCGAACTCAATTTCATAATTTCCCTGAGATTTTATGATTCACAGTACAGTATCTTCATAGCATCTCTTGCTACAACGATAATTTTACTTCGAATGACACTATTTCTCTATTATTAATCTGTAGTTAATTCTGCATGCCTTTCACACGTAGTAAAAATTACTCAATCCTACAAAAAATTAGAAAACCTCACAATTGTAATTCCAGAAATCGGTTTATTGTTGCTCTGTGATATTTAAAAAATACCCAGCCCAAAATCTCTTTTTTCAAGAAGAAATATTCAGTAAAAATATTTTTACTGCAAAATTTTTTCAGAAAAAACCGATTTCAACTATATGGCAAAACGGCGGATTCCAACGCATTGTGATTTTTATAGATTTTCTAGATATATTCTTTTTTATCTTCAGAAAAAAATAGAACAGATGTGAGATTTAAAAAAAGAAACACAACATTAGAAACAGGCACCAGCACTAACTGTACTATTTCTACTGGATTTTGTTTAGAATTTTTGATCCATTCAGCAAAAGTTGAACACATTTCTTGTGATATTTGATATATACTCCGGATTTTGAAATTGGATATGAAACCTGTATATACAATATGTTACTCACCCCAGTGTCGCTTCAGTCTATCAGGATTAGTTTTCAGTGGCAGCATTTTTAATGCAGCCTTTGTCCAACCGGCATTTGTTGGATGATCCAACAAATAGGCATATGTGTCAACATGTCTTGATACCGCATTCATAGAATGTTGAATGGATTCCGTGAACCAGACGTCAGACAGACTCTGTGGAAAAGAAGTAATATTTCATTGATAGTTTCATTCACTCGAAAAATTATTGAAAATCGCATTGCATATTTAGACTTCACGAAATAAATCTTTCATATTTTGGATACTAAAATATTTGTGTTGAAGCAAACTCTTCTGAAAAAAATCTTCCCGTGCCGGGAATTGAACCCGGGCCTCCTGGGTGAGAGCCAGGTATCCTAGCCACTAGACCACACGGGACACATGCATAAACTCGATCCTCTCTCTAGCTCTGCTTCTAGATTATTTCCTGGAACAAAGTTACAATCTCCCATGGAAGACATTAAACTGAAGTAAACAAATATAATGGGCATGCAAATTTCTGAAAAACGTTGCGAGATTTATAACAGCAGAAGATTTGGGTATCAAACATGAACTGGACAACTCACTCTTTCTAGGTCAAAAATGCTATCCAAGCCTCCCCATGGTTCATCAAAGTAATGTGATTCAATCAATTCCAGAACTTCATCCTTGTCCTCAAAGTAGGTTCCCAGCAAGTACATGAGCTTTGACTGCGTTCCCCAGTGTTCTTTTGTGAGCTGCCTCAATTCATCACTCACAAATGAACCTACACATCATGCATGCACATGTTTAAGCAAACAATGTAGAATATTTAGTGAACACAAAGAGACTGATTTTTAACAATGCAACATTCAACAAGATATAATATTTACCAAGTACAAAAAATAGCGCTTCATTGCGTGTACCGCCAGCCAGCCAAGGAACTTTGTTGAACCTGCCAGTCTCCATCAACACTCTAGGATGATCAGGCAAAAACGGAGTGGTTGCCTCTCTGTCAACTCTTGGTACGAATATGAAAGGCAACAGCCCGAGCTTGAAAAAGCTTCCAACAGCCACAGTCAAATCTCTGGCAGGGACTTGACTAAGACATTCCATCATTGATGCCTTGTTTTCATCAGGGCATTCCAGTTTCTTTGCCAGTGCTTTGGCATTTTCCAAGGATCTGACTTGAATTGCCCAGGGTGAGACAGCTACCCCACTTTGTGAGATCACATGATGGAACAGACCTTTTGAGAAAAGATTTTTAGTCAAGTTTGTGTAGAATTATTATACTGTTGTACTTTCAAGCAACAAAAAGTCCTGCACAATAAATACAGTGAGACCCCCACATGCGGACACCTTGACCTGCAGACAATTTGACCTAGGGACACTTATTTTACCCTAAAAAAGTCACAAAAAAGTCCAAACATGAGGAGATTGACTCAACATAGGGACATTTTGCAATAAAATTGCAAATAAATTTCAGGCAAAATTACAAGGAACAGATGTTTCCAACCCTGAAACTGAGGTAAGAAAAGTTCTTGGACATTTCTCTCCCCAATTTACCATCTATTTAGCTAATTTAAAATAATTACCTCCAGCATAGAGGGACTTCCTTCTCTCTTTTTTTTTTTTTTTTTATTTTTACAGAAAATGCCAACACTTCTATGTATTGCACAGATAAGGTATCAGTATTCAATTCCCCAAATGTTCACATTGTGCTGAAATACATTGATTGAATCAGTTTAAATTGGGAAACAATTTTTATTTTTATGGAATTAGGGTGAGTATTTTGTACATGAAGCACCAATTAAAATTATATAATGTAAGTCTAAGGGAAAATGAGACTTGACTTGGGGACATTTTGACTTAGGGACACTCTTGATGCATCAATTACATCCGCATCTTGGGGTCTCTCTTTACTTTGCAATCAACTCCAAAAGTGCTAGTTCCTGGAACTTACATTTAGTTACGCTTAATATTTTGTCAATTGAAAAATAGCAGAGTGGAAAAATACTGTTCAACCCTAAATAATCAATGCCAATTTTTTTTAGCTTGCTGTGTTCCCTGAAATAAAAATTCATTTCATCATCAATAACTCAGACATTGAAAGTTTTGCAAAAGATTAAAAATCACAGATCATGTTAAGAGTACAAGTTGTGCGGAATAAAGTTGTAGAAAAGTTCATCCAAGAAAACCCCCTCCACAAACTAAACGCCTTTCTTATTAATCATGTACGCAACACTAAAAACTGCAAGAAAAAAATTACTTCAGATGCTACCAAAGGTTGCCACTAGACCATGAGTGGAAATTAGTCTAATCTGAACAAATCAGAGAATCTTTGAAAATCACTCACTGAGGTATGGAATTTTAGCAAAACTGTTGATCAACCATAAATAACGGACGCGTGATAATACATGTTTTAAAATTTTGGTTACAAGCATCATGAATTTCAAAATTATTCTCACCTTTGGAAAGAGGAGAGAGCATTTGAAAATGAGTAGAAGCACCTCCAGCACTTTCTCCAAAAATTGTGACTTTGTCTGGGTTCCCACCAAAGTACCTAATATTTTTTTGAACCCACTTCAGTGCCTGGGTCTGGTCCAACAAGCCCATGTTGCCTGGGTATTTCTGGTCTTCCGTGGACAGAAACCCTGCAAAATTAAATTATCCAAATTGAGCACAGATACAATTCTTTAACAGCTTGGCCAATCATATTCACCAAGAGCTTGAAGTCTATAGTTGATGGTGACAAGAAGAACTGGCCTGTCCATTAAGTATGTTGGACCATAAATAAACCTATGTGATGACCCCCAAACAAAACCTCCTCCATGGATCCACACCATGACAGGCAGTAGTTTTGTTCCATTTTCTTTACTCAAGCCCTCATACATGTCAAACTGAATATTCAATACAAATGTGTCTCATTCAAAAAATTGATTAAAACCTTCAAGACTTTCAGGTTAGCTTACTTTAATAGGTTTGAAGATGTTCAGGAATAAACAGTCCTCTGATCCAACGACTCCATTGCCATTCATGATATCATAATGCATACAAGCTGAGCCTTCCTCCAGAGCTTCAATCTTCTCAGGCAATTCATCATCAGTCAGCTCAACTGCTGGCTAATAATAAAAATGTATGATATTCCAGGGAGGACTCCACAGTTCTGTTTTGTTCATTCCTGCACTTGAAAAAAAGATGGCTGCAATGTTGTTGATTTTAAATCATTTCCTTGTGAAACCAGCCAAACACTCAGTCAAAATCAACTTGAAGGAAGTACTGGCACAAAAAATAATTTAATCTACCACAATAATGCTTCTCTATTCCAGAGAATATACAGGTATACATGAAAGTGTAAGATAATTTGGAAGGAAGAACTTTGTGCACATATTTTATTTGCTTTCATCCATTTTTCAATCAGCACATTACAGTGGCCCCCCGCCTAACAGACCTCCCGTGTAAGGGATTTTTGTCAAACAGACCAGCACTGCAAGCAGTTTTTCCTCCCGCCCAACAGACAAAATCCGCCAAACAGACTTCTTTTGGTTTAAAATTAGTGTTGAAAATTGAAATTTTTAATTTTTTATGTAATTGAATTCATGTAAAGGACTTTTTGTCCAACAGACTTGTACCTTGCACAAATTGAGTCCATTAGACAGGGGTTGACTGTATTGGGAAATTTTCAACAAGGAAGAATTGTTCAATACAAAAGAAGCATTCTCAAAATTTCCCGCTCTAATTTCAGTAAAAAAAAAGAGCCAGAATCTTAGAAATGATGATGAATTATATATAAGAGAAGTACAGTAATTCAAAGCACTGAATGCCTAATTCCTGGAAGATCCTAAATTTTTTTGAAACATGAGACTAAAAGTTAAAAAAAAGGTTTCCCAAGTCCCTGAGATTTTTTTGAAATTTTCAAGGCATTCAAATCTGTATATACCGACACTGCAGTGAAAAATGTTAATTAGAAGAATGTTTTAGTTCAAAAAAAGTCTTCTCATGAGATTGAATGTGTCTCCTGTCTAGATAAACTGGAAGATGGTATCTTTTTTGTAGGTCCAAACAAATGCAGTGAAATCTCATTACAACAAAGCCATTGAAACCAGTGGAATAGTTTTTTTGCAACAAAAAAATGGTCATAGCATAACTCATTCAACTTTGTGGCCATTGGTCAGGGGCCAAAAAAGCTAAATTTGTTATAACTGATTATTTGTTATAACAAGATTTGTTGTAATGAGAGTCAATTCTATATTTTGTGGGAAGCAAGTTTGCCAATACAACTAGAAATAAAGCAGTCACAAAAGCCAAAAATGTGTCATATATATCCAGTGATAACTTACTTGAAACCTCAAATGGCCTACAGGAGGCTTCGCATACCTGATCCCAGAGAAAGAGGCAAAAAAGCCTTTCTGGTCAGACAGCTCAAGCTTACCAGAGTAAGACACACTTTTCCCATTACTCAGAGGCACTGTGACAACTGGGTCAGGCAAACCACCAAGTTGCACCCCACCAACTCCAGCTTCATTCAGGGCCACACTTAGTAAGAAGGCAAGGAACACAGCCTTATTTGCAACCATGTCTGTTCCCAAGGAAGGCTTCTGTGGGACTGAACCCTGCAGCAAGGGAGCTCAATAAAAAAGAACTGTCTGGACTTTGTTGCCAAGTCTCACAGGGTTCAAGGCTGCAGAAGGACGTGCTCAGACCAATGATGAGGCACCAAAAAAAGAAGCATTATAATCTTGTCTCCATCAGAATAAGGGAAGTCATAGTATACTTTTATTTTGTTTTTTTCACCGTGGCTGAACAGGTTCTTAGCAGTGACAGGAGAAAAGCATCCCACAGGAGGTGTGTAACCTGACCAAAAACACCCAGTAACTAAAGCAGCACCCACACAAGAAGCATCCAGTATATATAAGAATAGCAATTACTATTTATCCAAATTTAAAGATGAACACAAAATATAAATAGGTACTGCAGTACAATTAAAACGCTGGACAAATTCCCTGCTTTTCATACTCATGCAAACTCAGAGTTTGTGCAGCAAGTTTATTTTGACAAACAGTTCTTTTTTTTAAATTAGAAACAGCTTCAGTGCATGGAACAGAACTCTTTTCAATAGATAAAAAAGAGAAGATGCAAAGACAAAAATAAAATTATTTCTATAGCATGATGGACATGAGGTGACACAAATTTTGGCTTTGAGTAGTTGACTTTTGCATGGATATATTGCAGTAGCAAATTCGATGAAAAGTGATTATCCTTGAAAAAATTAAATTTTGACTGAGAAATTTTGCTGACCAAATACATCAACAAATCGCTAAATGAAAAAAAACATGGTATTGTTGAGCATTTTCCCTTGTTTTCCCTCGTGCAACAAGAACCACACAGGGTCATAGAGAACACAGTGTTGCCCATGGGAGCAAGAAAAATGAATAAATGCATCTACAATCAAAACTGGGAGAGAGGAAAGAGGTGAAAGATTCACTCATACCCACTCACTCACCTACAAAAGCTGTACACACAGACGCATATAATTATACTCACACAGAGAAATGCGCATCATTTACGCAGAAAAGGGGGAGAAGCTTAAAAATAAAAAATGTGGTGTTGGGTATGTTCAATCTGGGGACTGGCGGGTTGCTGGGAGCGTGACAAGGGCGTGATCATCATTCCCTGTTGGAGCCTATGGAGGGGGAGAGTTTTCTTTTGTTTATAAGGAAAGAAATATATTTTATTCTTCTCTCACTCACATTGCCCTCAAGCAGTTCTGTTCATCTTTCCTTCATCTCTCCCTCTGCTCTTTCCTCTTTCACAGAGTATTATGTAAGGCTGAGGTGGTGTTTACAACTGACAATGAGAGGCATTAAGCAATGTAAGTTGACAAATTCAATACAGGAAGACTCTCTCATACAAGAAAATTCAGGGGACCAGCAAAAAGTTATTGTGTGGAGATCCTTTTTGTGGAGAACTTGTTGAGGTGTGTAAATTGTAGAGAATCCTATATAAGACCACAAAAAAAAATTATGCAGAGAAAATCATTTCAACCAAGATCATTGTTGAAAGAGAGTCTACCACTAATATTTTTTCATGGAACTACAGTTCAAAAGAGGTCATATGTACCAATTCCTATTCCATGCACATTTACTTGATAATGTATTGCTGAAGTATTGTTCGTCATTGGGTAAGATATGCACCTCAGTTTTTTTTAGCTGAAAATTTGGCAAAAAAAAGTTTCCTATCCCTTTGGTGAATAACCTTTTAATGAACCTAACTCTTGTCACAGTTGCCTTAGTTAAAAACCAATGCAAAACTTGACATATTTCATTGTTCATGTGCAAGAGAAAGTCTGTTTGTTCAAATGATCAATTTTTGTAACATGTGATGGAAATGTCCAGTTTAAATGATGTAAGTATATGTGAAATAAAGTTTCATTTGCTTTGTTTAATTGCCTTGGGCTATTGAACTTTTCTGGTGTTTTTTTCTTGCTAAGTTTGTCTGGATATGCCATATTTACGCACAGGTACCACTCACCCTCAAATATGTGGAGCAGTGCAGTTATTTTTTGCATAAATTTGCCCCAAAAAGTCTCCAAACATGAGACACCCGACTTTCACATGGCTGAAAATCAAGATTGTTCAAATTGTAATGCTGATAAAAATGATCCCATAAATACATGCTTTATAAGAAGATACGGCCTTTTAACTGAATTTCAGCCAAACAGAATTTACTGATGTTCATTATTTGCTCATATATGCATCAAAGTAATCATCACTTATGGTGCCTGCCACTAATTTTCCAATATTTTGCTCAAGAAAATGCATTACCAGACACATCCCAGTTTTATGCCTAAATTTTGCAGAAAAATATGCACATGGTACTTGTGTAAATACAGTATATACTGTACAGTTGAACCTTGATAATTAAAACCATATTGAGTCAAATTCCTCCCAAAGTTGATTTTTTAAAATCCCTATCTGAATAATGCCCTTAGAAGAAATGTATTAAAAACCTCTCTAAGTTGAATACTTTTCCTCTCAAATCTGCCTAACTTGAATTTCCTGAGGCCTTTTGTCTATTATTTTCTTCACACAGGAAAAATAAAATCAATAAAAAACCTAATATGATGCATTTCAAAGAAAGGAAGTGAAAGATGAATTTGGAAAATGAACCCTTACATCCAAGTTCTGCAAATTGCCAACGCATTTCAGAAGCAGTTTGAGGCCCAGAATACAGTCAACCCCCGTCTAACGGACTTGATTCGTGCAAGGGACAAGTCTGTTAGACAAAATGTCCTTTACACGAATTCAAATACATAAAAAATTAAAAATTTCAAGTTTCAACACTAATTTTAAACCAAAAGAAGTCTGTTTGGCGGATTTTGTCTGTTGGGCAGGAGGAAAAACTGCTTGCAGAGCTGGTCTGTTTGGCAAAAATCCCTTACACGGGAGGTCTCTTAGGCGGGGGGCCACTGTACTGTATTACCAATATCACAATTTCTGATGGCAATTCTTTCATCCCTTCCGCAAAAAAAAAGGGTGTTTCCCCACTTGGAAATCTCCCCATCTCCAAACCTCCCAAAGTCAAAATTTTTTTTCTGGTCCCTTGAAATTAAACTTAGAGAGGTTTGCCTGTAAATTCTCAAATTGTGCTGAAACATGCAGTTGTGCACCCCTGATTAACCGCGCTCATGCATTTGTGCCACCAGCATGCGGGTCTGGGCTAGCTTCGTGAAGCCCAAGCTCAGGCACCGGCCGCAGTGGTGGACCATAAGTCAAGCAATGCGCGAACGCGGGTGTGTGCGGCGTTTATATTCTGTGACGCAGGAACCTTACCAGAAATAGCTTTCTTCCGGGGTTTTTCTTGAACGCTTACTGTTTTTAAAATTTGTGAAAAACACGTATCTGTCTCGCTGTGAAAACAAGAGCATGCAGATGTGTCTTGCGTCCGAATTGTTTCGTATTGAAGTCAGTACTGTATATACTCAAAAGCAGTTCCTTGCGTGACCTGAAAGTTGCGGGTGTCTCGTTGGCAACAGTGAGCTAGACGTTTCGAAATAGTAGAGGCGTTGGGTCCGGATTCATCCTTTAGCGACATCTATGTATACAAGATGAGAACGTAGCCTGCCATATCATGCAACATCATGAAAGCTTAACATGTACAGTATTTTGGAACCCATCAGGAATTGAACCTGGAGTACAGCAGGTTGAATTGAAGCCCAACTTTTAGCCACTGACACTTCATTGACGTTTCAGCACCATTTAAGAGCAAATAAATCGGTGGAAACTTAATCAGCATATAAACTTCCCTTAGTCATGATACCTTCTTATGTAATTTTTTCCAAGCCTCTCTCTGAGTCCCCTAGAAACCATGCATTGAGACCATTTATAACTCAAGGCTCTTCTCCAAAAATCTCCATTCAAATTTTCTGGCAGCCTTTTGGCTGTTATTTTATAGGGACATTAGGAAAATAAAAGCAATGAAAAACAAGTACTGTATATTGATGTCTTTTCGAAGTAAGTGAAAGATTACCTGGGTGATAAAGAACCCTTGCCTCCAAGTTCAGCATCATGGCAAGTAGTCATCCGAGAAGTAATTTAAAGTCCAGAATATCAGTACCAAATACAATTTCCTGTAATTCTTTTCTTCTCCCAGAAATATGGTAGTTTCCTCAACTCAAATAAAAACCTCAAACCAAATTTTTAGTTTAATTCAAAAAGGTTTGATTGTAAATTAATGATGTATATATTTGCATCAATAACTTATTGATACTCTTCAGGGATGAAAAAATGGAAGCACAATAACCTACTCAGCACAAACTGTACCTAATAACCTTACAACAAAGCTTAGATACAGCCTACAACTTAGCAGAACACCCAAAATATACAGTACTTTACAGCAATAATAACACCTGAGAATATGAGTTAAATTATACCTATTGCTTCATTTTTGCGCCATTTTCTACAATCACACAATGTAGGAAAGAACCAGACCAAATGCCTGTCCTGAAGTTCAACAAAACTGAACATATGGCACCTGATCTGTTCAGATGCTGCATGATTAAACCTGATGAGTTGATGCAGTATTTCACAGTTCCAACCGATCAAACAAAAGTTAGTTTATAGATGTCGCTGGTGCATTTTTCCCCTAAAGTCCAGAATATCAGTACCAAATACAATTTCCTGTAATTCTTTTCTTCTCCCAGAAATATGGTAGTTTCCTCAACTCAAATAAAAACCTCAAACCAAATTTTTAGTTTAATTCAAAAAGGTTTGATGTAAATTAATGATGTATATATTTGCATCAATAACTTATTGATACTCTTCAGGGATGAAAAAATGGAAGCACAAAAACCTACTCAGCACAAACTGTACCTAATAACCTTACAACAAAGCTTAGATACAGCCTACAACTTAGCAGAACACCCAACATATACAGTACTTTACAGCAATAATAACACCTGAGAATATGAGTTGAATTATACTTATTGCTTCATTTCTGTGCCATTTTCTATGATCATACAATGAAGAAAAGAACCTGACCAAATGCCTGTCCTAAAGTTCAACTATAGACTTGTATACCGTGGACTAGACAAGTCTACGACGTACTAATTTGGACTACTCAACTACGTCATAAAGTGTCAAGGTTGGCTAGTTTGTTTTCAATCAAATATCTACAGCGACCACGTAAAAAGGGGACCGCGCCTGTCTTCCGTGAAGAATAATTGTACTGTACTGAGAATGATCCGTGATATGAATCTGTATGCCCTGCTTTATTTTTATTGGTGCATGAAAATGAGAAAAAACATTATGATAATCATGATTCTGTGATGAATTTTCATGTAGGGCAGCAGCGTCATGGCGTCGTGGTACTCTTCCTCAGACAGCGACGACACCTATACTTCTCATGAGTCTCGTGCTAAAGTTGACCTTGCTTACCGTAACCTCGATGTCGCTGCTGTGTCCACGTGTTTGGAAGATGATGCCAGCATCATCAGTTTGAACCTTGCTGGAAACTCTTTGGACTCCATACCACCTGAAGTAGGACGGTTTGACGCGTTGAGAAGTCTGGATTTGAGCAATAATAGGGTCAGTTTGCTGAATGAGAAAGTGCTCAGGTATCTGAAGAACTTGGTGAAACTGAACCTGAAAAACAACTCATTGTCTGATGCTTCTGTGGATTCCGGTGGTTTCCTACCTCCAAAGCTGAAGGAGCTTAATTTATCTGGGAATTTTCTGACTAGGATCCCACCTGGGGTTCTGGACCTCCAAGAGCTCAAGTATTTGTATTTGGGAAGGAACCACATCAGTCATTTACCACCAACCATCAAGAGGCTTCAAAAGTGAGATTTTGGTTTTCTGCATTTTTTCAGATTTCAGGTGATTTTCATTGGGGGATCAACTACTCGTCATTTAGAAAGATTCAAAACAGAGGGTTAAAAACTTTTGACAAATTACCTTCTAAAAAAGTATCGTCCCGTCATTTTGATCCTATAATAAACTCCGAGTCATACAAAACAAGGGGGGGGGGAAAGTACTTGAAATCCAAGTGTGACAGGAACTGCCAATTTTTTATTTACCCATTTTCTAAAACAGAATGAGCCTGAAAATATGTAAAGGTGGACTTTGTTTAGTGCTAAAACCTAAAAGTAATATTTCTTGAACTTTTTTGTTAGTTGAATCTCAAAAACAAAACCCAGATGTTGGTGATAATTATTTTCTTGAACTCTTTTTAAAAATCTTCCATGGCATAATTTTAAAATCAATGGTTCTACTACCCTTTTTCCGAAAGCAAAATATGGAAGGGGAGAACAAAATAATTTGTATCTTCCTACCATCAACTCATGAACTTATAGAAAGGGACCCAAAGTTGAAATTCAGCTGATCTTGAAGCAAAAAACTGGACTAAAAACCCAATTCATCAGATGATTGTGAAATGCCATTCAAATTAATGAAAAATGGGTGCTGCTTTCCAAGGGTTGAGAACTATACATGCAGTTGAACTTTGTCAAGTAAAATCTGACATCAGTGTATAATAAACTGTTCTTATAATTTTGTCATCAAATTATTTACATCACGCAAAAGGAAGCCAAATTTGTTAATTTAGAAACCCTTGACTAAATTGTTTTCCAGAGTTTCAAATATTTTACTTGGAGAGGTTAAGGTATACTGAATAAGTCCTCCAGAAGTTTCATCCTGAAACATTATGATGTCTTCAATTCTTGATTTTCAGACTAGTTATTCTGTACCTCGGAGGAAATGAGCTGAAAGCTGTGCCAAATGAAATTGGAGAACTGGAGCAATTGGAAACACTTGGCTTGTGTGACAACTCAATCACCAGCATCCCTTGGACAGTGTGCAAGCTCAAGTCATTGTGCTCTCTGCTGTTGCACAACAACCAACTCCAGACTTTACCCAGGGAAATCCTGACTCTACGGATGCTGTCTGAGGTTTGGATTTATTGAGCAATTCATGCAGAGGTCTTGACCTTGACCACTTTGTAACTCTTTTGTAAGTGCAGTTGAGCTTGAGAGGAAACCCATTGGTGCTGAGGTTTGTGAGGGACATGATCTATGACCCTCCATCCCTCTTGGAACTGGCTTCAAGGGTTGTCAAAGTTCACAGGGTGCCATTTGAAGAGCAAGACTTGCCAAGGACCATTCTGGAATATTTGTCCACTGCTAGGCAGTGTGTGAACCCAAAATGTGCAGGTTGGTTCTTAGAACTCCTTATCATTATTATTTTCTGAAATTCATGCTTCAGCCTGACCAATTGGATGTTGAAATGTATCATTTTTTAAGGAGTGTATTTCGATACCAGAGTGGGGAACATAAAGTTTGTGGACTTCTGTGGCAAGTACAGAATACCCCTTTTGGAGTTCCTGTGCTCAACCTATTGCACCAGGACACCATACAGACCCATCAGAATGCACAAGGAAGAACCCAGTGATGAAGCTCCAGTGCCTGAGGACAGGATTAAGAAAGTTCTGCTGGGATAAACACAATTCATTGCCATTTTTCAAACATGGAATAATACTGATGGGAGATGAGACTAACTTGTGACATTTGATTGTGATTCATGAACTGAGCTCTTTATGGGAGGATATTGCAAGTACACTACCCCGTGCTGCTGTGAGAATTGATCTGCTGTACTTTTATTTTAGGATAATTATTTTTTACATATAGATAGATGCTTAGATACTGTATAACAAACTTTTTCCAAAGTCCCCACAAGTTTGTTGTAACAAGATTTTACTGTACATGAATAAACTTTATTAGTGTTTGTCGGTTCAAGAAATGATTCTCACATCCCATATCATCCAACTCCCCCCTCTCCACATACACATCATTCAAAGAAATAAAAAAATAGTAAATGGGCATTTGAAGATAATGTAGCACAGAACACACAAATGCTTGATTTGCCTTTTAAAAAAACTGGAAAATTACCTGTGCTAACTAAAATTTGAATGGGCGTTGAATGGTTCCAAATGAAGTTGAAAGAGGAAGGATTATTTGTAGCATGTGAACTGATGTGGCATCCTTTTTCAAATCTATGCTATGATGGGATATGATACTGATGATCTGTATGTTGCAAAAATAAAATGTGTACTGTGCTAATGCCAGCAATTTACATCCAAACTTACAATAGAGGCAAATATACTGCTACAGCATTTCACTCAAGCTGTCTGAAAAATTAAAAAATCAGTGTTCAGGTATGTGTGTAGAAAATCTCTTCAATTTATGGTGATTTAGGGTTGTATTGCAAAAATCTTGTATGCATTTGTTTCATGGTCAGTGCTGGAGACTTTAAATGCATTGGATGATGTGAAATGTATAAATAGCAGCTGGTAAAAAAGCAAACAAAATAATAATCTTTAGACATCATCTGTGGCTAAATACATTCATTGAGAAAACGCTAAATCTTTGAGGGCATATTTAGAATATAAATTGCAGAAGTCCTTTTTTCATGGTTGAATAATGCAATTATCACATCATATTACTTTATCATGTGTCAACCTATACAGATTTAGTTGAATTGTTGATATCATTAACCTTCCTCTTGTCATAATAATTTCCAAAGAGCTAATGAGAAGATTGGAAATCCTTCTGTTGAAAGTATCACTTTTAAATAAGAAGACAAGGATTAAATGCTGTGAAGGTTTGTATGACCTTATCACACACTCATGTAGCTATTATGAGAATGGCTTGGTGACCTTTTATTGAGCTAAATAAATTTGTGATTAGCCTTCACCAAATCAGACAAGTCATGTATATGAATTCAGGGCCTATTGTTCCTGGCATAATTTTTACAGCACTTGGAGCTGCAGGTGTTTACATGGCATTCAGCAGTGGGGAAACAACTGAAGAAAATCTGAAATATTTCCAGCTTGGCTCCATCTTCCTGCTTGCTGAGGGGATTGCATTCTTGGTCCTCCCTTGCATTTTTGCATGTGTTCCTGGGTCAGATGATCCAAATTCTGCCACATTTATCATCCTTGAGATCCTTGGACTGATTGCTGCTGCACTTGGGTTCAGTGCTGGGGTACTGATGGTAATTTACTATGCCTGGGCTAGTGCAAGTGCAAAAATGCTCACTGGTGTGCAGTACTCACTGGGGGTTGGGATTGTTGCTCTTATCCTAAATGCACCCATTGTCATACTTGTTATCCTCTTTGCTTTGAGTGGCTGTGGTATGATTTCTCATGGTGGCCAAAAATAATTTCATACATTTTCACTGATTTGTATTTTACTTATTACTTCATAGGGCTTTCAAAATTGAAATCAAAATGAAAACTCATGAACCAGTCAACACATGTTTATTTCAAAAGGAAAACAGCATGTCTCACAAGTTTTGCTTTTCCTTCTACCACCAGGAAAATGAATTTTGAACACACAATAAGGAAGTGAGCCTGCAGACTTCTTTGAAATCCACCCTCCACATTTCCTCAATTTTATGTACACTAAAGGTATAATAATTAGGCTTTTTACTTGCAGAATCTGCAATTTTGACTTCAGCCTCAGTAGATGCCTGTATTTCAAGCCTTCAGCCTCATCTCCAATCGAAAATACCAATATACCATATGTTCTATGATAGGGATTACCAAGAAGGTTCTGAAAGCCTCTGCATGAAGCTCTTTCTTCTCAGGGAACACTGAGGGACACATTTCTACTAGATATCACATACAACACACAATTCAGAACCTCCTGTAGTTGTCATAGAAGAAAAAGTTGGTTTCCCTCCTGGGTACAAAGGGCTTGGGTCTTCCAAAAGTACCAACAGGCAAAGTTTGGAACTCCTCAGCTTGTCTTCTGCTGGTCACATTGTATTCACCACCAATCTTCATCTGGGTCCTAGGCCTATCAGGAATCTTCTTCCTTGCCATCAAGCCATCAGGATAAAATGTTGCTGGCAAAGGGGCCAAAGCATCCTTTCTCTCCTCCAGTTTCTCCAATTTGATTGAAGACTTTGGTCTGATCAATCCAGAGTTTTGATTCCTCATCTCCTCCCTGGGGGTTGAATAATATGCTTCTGGAGTGCCTGGAACAGTTCTGAACCTTCCTGGTGCCATCATGACAGAGGTTCTGCCAGAACCTGCTGGGGTGTGATCCAGGGAACCTGGCAAGGTCAATGATGTGCCAGGTCTATACACAGTCCTCCTGTACAACTTTGATTCATGAGCTTTCAGGGCTTTGTTCAAATCAAATGTTGAGGTTGACACAAAAGGATCAGAGTTACTGGAATTGGTACTTGTGGACCAGTTGAAAACACCAGAGTCAGAGTTTCTTCTGCCAGGGTTGAGGTAATACCTGGGCAAGGGTTCCATCACTGGGCAAATGCTTTGGGGGCTGTCAAAGGAATGAATGCGCAGGTTGTGGGCTGCCTGCTTCAATATGGCTGGAGCAGGAATTTCTGATGAGGTCTGCTCCTTATGGTTGGGGGTGAATGCGCATCAAGGTTCCTATAATCAGCTGTTGGGTACAAAAAACCCACACACTGGTGGTACATGATATGCCAATCAATTCAAATTTTCCTCTGGTCCTGGGAGAATTTATTACAGTGTGTAGGCATAAGAAAAAAGGCCATTCTACTGAAGAAAGTCATGCAATTCAGCATAAGGCACTTGATATTTTTTATAAATGTAGAAACTCTACAAATGGGAGACCACCTCTATAATGATGTTCTTAACTCTTGAAATTACATGCAGCATACATCCAAATATTATCATTAGTATAAAGCTGAAAAGTTCCAGCATAGATGAAACATGATTACATTTTTAATATCCTTTTCCCACAAACTCATGCAAGTACTGTATTGCCAACACTGCTCAATCAGCAGATAATGAGTGGAACTTGATGACATTGAAGACTTTGAGCCCCTCTTATTTGTGTAATACATACTGGTGATGCTTTTGCAAGGCCTCAGATAATGTTCATATGTTTCATATGCACAGAGAAATTCATGGATAGAATTCCCTTATGAAATTCAGGGCAACAATAAATTTCCCATCTTCAAAAATCACTCATTTCTAACTACAGCTTAGTAAAAATATTGTTCAGAACTTTTTCATCTCTCATTTTAAAGTGGACAATGTTCATTGTTTGAATCTTGACTTCTTGAGGTAATATAGGGTACATTTTTTTTATTAAAAGTTAGTCAGGATCATAAAAGAGGTCTTAGGTGCACAAACAACTTACATTGAGATTTTCAGACACACAGAACCTATTTTTAATAGGGAAATTGCAAATATAACTGATTTAAGTAGGATTTCTTGCATTTAGGAAAGTTGTTAATTATTAAAATGATTTCTCCTGAAGTTATTATTAGGAATATACAGTATCATACACTACATACCATCAAACATTATACAAGATTGATTCTGCACATGAAAAAAGATTCCATGACAATCCAATATTTGGTACACACAAAATTTCACATCAAGATAAAAAACATTTTAGGCCTCCTGTATAAGGACATGGAGAATTATTACATGTGAGAAGATATGCTTTGAATTATTTAAAGAAAACATTCATCAAACGTCTTTCCTCTGAAATTTTGTCTCAGGAAAATATCATTGACTGGCTCAAGCATTACAACATTGATTCTGAAGATGAGAAAAAGTTTCATTGCAATTCAAGATTTGTTTTTTATTCTGTGTATACAAGGGAAAAGCCAATCTGGGAACCTTCTGATATGTCAAAGAGAGTCAACCAACAGAAGAAATGTATTGATTGCCCAGCCATCCTGCCCCCTGGCATGCTATGGTGTCACTCATCCATTATGCACCCTGCACACATGCACATGCATTTCTAATCACTGTTGTGCTTCCTGCTTGTGCGTACATTGCAAATTAATCAACAATTCCAGGACAGTGTGGCTGCAACAGTTCCTTGAATCATTCATTTCACACAGGGGCAAAGTGGCAGGATTGGCCTTGGATCAAAGCGCCTTCTTTGTATTCATGGGTGAGTACTTGCTGTTACTCTGGATGATCTCAAAAGGTCAAACCTGACAATATTGCCCAAAATGGAGAGGATGTGTAATGATGAAGAGAAGCTGAAAATTGTCATCCGTTTTCTTTCCACACCATGTAAATTCAACCCAACAGAGCAAAGGAAAAAAAAATATAGTTTAAGCTTCACCAGAACTTCAGGATTAAAGATTGACTAGACAACACCTCCAGAGAAATAAAGAAGTTTTGGAACATCTTTCACATCAACCATCAGTCAACCTTTAGCTTGGACCACAGTCCAGCCATCACAGACAAGCCTTCTGCACAACCACTTGGAGTCTTCTCAAAGGCACATAAGAGACAGAAGCTCATTTTCCTGCAAACCCCAAGTCACAGTCACATTCTTTGAAGGATTTGCCATTTTGCAAATGCTGTGTATGATACATCACATGCTGCTAGAACATGCAACTTGAGGTTTGCATTTGGGGCTGCAATATTTCTTAAAAATAAAAAGGCAGCAATTTCAGAAAGCCTAATTGATTCCAAAGCAATCCTTGGTCCAGAAGTTCAGCATTGAGTGATACAAGTGCCTTTGTACTCCACCCAAAGAATGGTTCTCATCAGGGTAACTCTGCTGTCTGAAGAGTACATCATGCAGCTCAAGAGCTTTGGAAAGCATCATGGACTGCTGATAGTGCACATTATCATCAGCATTCCCATGAATCAGATAATAAAGTTTGTTTTTGAAACCCTCTGGATCTGAGGTCAGTTCTGCAGCTTCATAAGCATCTGGGTAGTCATCAGGCAACCCCATGTACCTTTCAGTGTAAATGGAGTCATAGTACAGCCAATTGGTCACCGGTGCAACACTCACACCACACTTGAAAACATCTCCTCTGGATAAGGCAGCTCCAGCTACAAATCCCCCATAACTCCAACCCCAAATCCCCACTTTATCTGCATCTATAAAATCGTATGTCTGGATCAGGTGTCTAGTCACTCCAATCTGGTCCTCAACTTCCACAGTCCCAAGTCCATGGTGAAGTGTAAACAGCAGCTCATTGCCCCTGAGTCCAGATCCTCTACCATCTATCATTGCATAGATGATTTCATGACCTGATGAAAGCACTGTTGCCCAATCCACTCCTCTGTAGGCATCCCTCACTATCTGAGAGTTTGGTCCACCATAAGTGTACACTAGCATAGGGTACTTTTGCACTTGTCCAGACTTTCTTCTGCCATAGCTGGGAGGCATTAGCAATCTGACCTTTGCAGTGAATGACCTCTGCTTTCCTCTTCCAGCATCCACCTCAAGGTCCATGGTCATTGGCAAGTCCAAGCCCTGGAGCTGTTGGTACACCTCATCATTGGTCACCAAGGTACCAATTTTGCGCAGAGAGTCAGTTTCATACAGATAAAATTCACTTGGGGACAGAGGACCTTGGCACTCGAATACAAAATGGCTACCATCTTTGCTCGCATCCACAGAGGCATACAAACAAGGTTGTCCTTGAAGGTTGGTCCATGTGCAGGAGAGGCACTCCACAGCTGCCTTTTCCTTGGCCACATGTCTGGTCTTAGGGGACACAATTCTAGCTTTCACTCTTGGGTCCATAGTCTTGTACAGATGTCGCTGTGAAGGGTGAGCTAATGGAGCTGCAATGAAGTAGATGGCACCACTTGTTTCCCTCCAATGAACCACTTTGGTTACTGTGAGTGTCCCAGTTGAAACCTTTTGAGGAATAAATGAAACTTTGAATTTTTGAATGAAATGACAGATGCAGATGGACTCATACCTGAAGTAATTGGAGAGTATTCAGCTCCAAAATGTGAATGTGGTTGAAGCGACCACCATCACCTTCATTTGCAGGAAGTATCTGAATGAATGAAGTCCCATCATTGCTGAAGACTGGGATGGTGTAAGGGTCTGTCCACCCTCCAGAAACCTCATCACTGTGCACAATATCACATTCCCAGTCCTCTCCATAGTTGCCAGAACACAAGGAATACAGACTGACATTCTGGTTCCTGTTCATCCATACCACCATGAACTTGCCACCAGCAGCATTTGGCTGCCATTGAGCCAAAGCAAAATAATGTTCAGTCTGGTGCAACTCTCTGGGCACTCTAATCTTGGACACAACAGGCTCATTGTTCTGCTGTCTTGCAGCATTCAAGTTGACAGTGTACAGAGTGATGGTGGGGTTGGTTGTGCCAGCTTTTGGGTAGTGCAGTTGGTAGATTTCAGGATACAGGTTATCATCAGTGATGGGACCATAAATGGGGAATTCCATCAGAGGCACTTCTGTGTCATTGAATTGAGCATAACCAAGTGCTGAACCATCTTCATTGAACCACATGGCTTGAGCAGTGCTTAGCACTTCTTCTTCATACACCCAATCAGCTAATCCATTGAACACCATTCCAGGCACTCCATCCACAGTGAGTTTGATGGGCAAGTTGTTCCTGAAAATGAGGAGAAAATTTCAAGTCTTTCCAAAAATATGGAGTTATTGTAGACTTAATTTCATCTGAGTGAATTTTATACATTTTCTGACACCTGTTCCCCTTCATGATCAACTAGATTGAAATAGTTTGAAGTGCTGACCATAACTTTGAAGCAGAATGGTTGACCTATGACAATACTGTATTTTATTTATATTCTTCAGTTCATTCTAAGAGTATAATTTAAATGACTTCAAATTCTTAATGGCACAATGCCTGACTGAGAGAAATTTTCCTTAATCTAAGAAAATTTCAAGTTTTTCCAGAAATATTGAAATACAAAAACATCTTATTACAACAAACTACCGGTGACCTGATAAAACCTGATGAATTCGTTGTGAAGAAGAATTTTTTTTGGGGGTTTCAACAAATTTTTGACTGAAAGGTTGTGGGAAATGAGCAATAATTCCTGTGAAGTGCTTCAAAATCAACTAGATTGAAATAGTTACAAGTGCTAACCATGGCTTTGAGGCCAAATGTTTAACCTAAGACAATATTCTTAACCCTAAGACATGATTCAAGATCTATCATAATGAATAGGTATTTCTGATGAAATTAAGAGAAAAACTTTCGAAATAAATACTGTACTTGATTTCCTTTGAGTGAATTTCATACATTTTCTTACACCAATTCTCACTCATACTGAACTAAATTGAAACAGAGTTTCAAGTGCTAACCAAAACTTTGGAGGAAAAATGGTTGAACTACCAGCAATATTTTAAATTTATATTTCCAGAGTCGATAAGCGTCATTAAGCATTTCTAGTGATTGAAATCCATTGATAGAAGGAAATGAAATGTCAGATTGAAGATGCAGATCTGACAACCATGTTTGAACAAAGAAAAAATTTCAATCTTTCAATTTTTTGTGTTTGTGAAGCAAACAAATAATTTTAGTAGCTCAATATTTTGAAATAATTATTTATTCAAATTATATATGAAATAAATATCGTAATACAATAATGTATAAGATCTACAATTTTTTCTATTTGCTAAACCTATGCAAGTACTGTAATATACAGTATACGAAGATTTCCTAAAATTCACCAGGACGAGTAGAAATAAAAATGAAGAAGAAGCTTGTCAATTGTTTTTGATCTCATGAAAGTTTGAAAAATGTTGACTCAGAATTTCGTTGACTACCCATATAGGGAAAGTGTCGTTTAAAAATATGAGACAAAAACCTTTGGAACTAATTTTCAAGCGTGTCGGGGAGTTGCGGTATTTTTTCATTAATATTTTTAGTTGGATATAGAGAAATTTTAAATTTTCACAAATTATTTTTGCCCGCAAAATGAGGTTGAATCAATTACCTCGAAATGGGCAGAGTCTGGTAGTAGATATCCGAATTGAAAACGTAAGCGATGGCATTCGAAGTCGGCGACCATTCGGCCAGCATGAGACTCAAATGCTTGGTCGGATTCGGCGTCAGGAAGTCGATTCGCTTGGTGTCGACGTCGTAGACGAAATACTTGGCCAATTTCGAATACCTGTAAATCCTGTGCACGTCCGTCAACAACAGGACCTTTTTCCCGTCAGGACTGACGACGTGTGACGATATGGACATGTTGGCCAGCACTTCGGACGGCACCAAGGTCTCCACTTGGCCAGTGACCACGTCATGCGACACCAACGAGCCTTCGTCGCTTCTTTGCACGAATTTGCTCGCCGAAATCCACTTGCCTCGGAAGGATTTGGCAGAGTAAACGCCGTTGAGGAAATCATTCAGCGTCGGGATCGTCAATCGCTTCCCATCCGACTAATTCATGAAATTGAAAATAAAATTATTAAATTTAAAATGAAATTATGAAATTTAAAATAAAATTATGAAATTGAAAATAAAATTTTGAAATTGCAAATAAAATCATGAAATTGCAAACACATTTTTAAATTGAAAATAAAATTTTGAAATTGCAAATAAAATCATGAAATTGCAAACACATTTTTAAATTGAAAATAAAATTATGAAATTTAAAATAAAATTATGAAATTGAAAAAAAAAATTATGAAATTGAAAATAAAATCATGAAATTGCAACTAACATTATGAAATTGCAAATAAAATTATGAAATTGAAAATAAAATTATGAAATTGGAAAGAAAATTAGGACATTCAAAATAAAATGAAGACATTCCCAGTTTCGGCAATTCAAGACACCATCGAAAAGAACAGCTTCATCAAATATTTCAAGAAAAATAGAAAAATTTAGGCATTTTCAGTTTCCCTCAAAAAAAAAGAAACTCCGTTTACGTTTTTCCCTTTCATTCCACCTTTGGGAATGCGACAAGACAACTTTCACGCAATAAAACAAAAACCAGCTTTGTCACAGCGTGTTCTTAATAAGAAAAAGGAAAATATCTGATATATTACCTAAATTTAAATGCCTGAAAATTCTTTGAAAAAGTGCCTTTATAGTAATTTTTCATACTCACTGAAGTGTCATTTGACTTGAGAGCTCCAAGTACAGCAGTTGCTCGAATTTCTGACGTCGATTTCCGTGTCGCTCTCGTAGACAATGGCTTGTTGTCATCCTGCTGAAAAACGTAACAACAAAACATTCATAAGTTGTAAAATCAATAATAATCATATATGAATAATGCAACAACCCTGAGTTCAAAGCAGCATTCACAGATGCAATTTAAACAATCTACAATTAAAATATTTAATATTTTCCCGGCGTTCCTTGAGAGTAAACATCTTGCGCATTAAAAAAAAAATACTGCATCTGCATCTAAATGCATCTTTCGATTATATTTTCTATTATAAAACAAAAAAAAGCAAATTATTTCCTTCATCAAAACACGAGTATGAACTGCTTCGACGAAAAAATGTCTGGGAAACCATCATTGAAGACTGGAATAATGCGGACGACAGGTTCTCACCCAATTACTGTCCCTCAGAATTCAAACTAAAAGATAAACAATAAAACGATTCATATGTAAAATAATATATGTGCATCTTATAATGTCTATGAACTTCGGTTGAGTTTCATGGGAATCTGATATAATGGGAATTATATACGGGCTGTACCAAAACATAGATAACATTTTTGTATTTTCGGTTATATTTTCAGAACTAGTTCGGATGCAGAATCCCAGCATTTTGAATGAATAAACATATGAATTTCATTTTCCTTTTTTTCTGCTAATTAAAAATTTAATACTGCAACAGCAATCGCATTAAAAATAAACGCCTACACAGCTAATAAAGTTGGATCTTAAATCTTTCATATGCTCATGATCAGTATTTTGCATATGTACATCGTTTGGATGTGATCAACTTTGATTTTAAACCCTTCAAACTATATTTTTCAATAAAAGGGTAAATTGATCATGTGTTGAACTGATTGGTTTCTTTCCTAAGGTCAATCTGAATTATTTTATCTTGACTTCAAGATTGCAAAAATTTAAGCAGTTATTGACGTCGATCAGGAATTTTAAGGAATCGAGTTGTTTCAAATTTTATCTGATAAGGCTTCAGGCAATTTTTGATAATTATGCAGATTGAATTAGTAATTTCGCTTAATACCTATTTTTAAATCTTTAAACGCACAATTAAATGTTGAGTTCGGAATTTCTCACATTATTTGAGGTTACAGATCGACACGACGTGCTTTCTTGCAATTATTGCTAAAATTGTCCAAATTCTGTACGTTTTATTTAAAATAATTTTCTGTGCAGATGAGACATGGGAAAACCCGAAAAATTTTTAAGAATACAGAAAATGAACGAACCTGCTTCAAAGTTACCCGGAAACGGAATTTTCAACAAAAGTTTCTAAAAAAAATGGAAAACGAACTTTTTTCGATGTCAAGCCAGTTGTGGTCATGATGACAGCGATGACGACGACACATGCTACGACACCGACGAGAACGACGGTCTTTTTCGAGCACGTGAACGACGATCGGCCAGAGTTGGTGCCGAAAATTTCGCTGGCCTCTGTCACTTCCGGGTAATTGGCAGCACTGTCGAGTGTCGACGATGACGACCCTCCCCTCGAAAACACTTTCATCAAGATGTTCGGCATCTTTTTTTTTCTTCTTCCTGTGTTTTTGCACTCTTCCTTCCGTCCACTTGATCCGAATATTACAATTATCTACTCTGAACCCATCAAAACCGAGAAAGTCATCCTGGAATAAAGAAGTAAATTAAAATACCCGTCAGAGGAGGAAAAATCAATAATTTTTAGCTTTAAAACTATTTTTTTCTTTCTTTCTTGAATTACAAGTTAAATTTCGGCTTTGGCAAATTTTCATTGTCTCATTTTTGTGGGAATATCGTTTTTTCTTGTGGGATTTTGTTGCTTTTATTTCGACACGGGCTAGTTTATATTCAATTATTTTGTGTGAATGATTCTCATGATGGCTCCATTTTTCAATTTTTTTCTGCTGCCTGGACGCTTATTTTTCATTCCCTTGTTTCAGCAATTGTGCAAAATTACGGCGTAGTATAGCATTTTTCTAGCTAGACAAATTTGCATGAATATTTTAAACAAGCTTTAGGGTTATGCTAAGGTAATACGTTTTTTAGCTTTCAAAATTCATATTAAGAAATTACTGGTTGTGAAGAATGTTCTGGAAAATTTTTCAATCATTCTGGAGATTAAAAATTTAGTCCTGGGCCATTTTTATACCTTTAGAAACCGCGCGATGCTCGAACCGAAAAATTACCAGTTGACGCATTCAACATAAATTTGAAGAAAAGAAATGACCGTTATTCCTGCTGAAAAATGCCTCAGGAAAATAGAAATATAAAAAGGTCCCGATTTTCATAAGAAAAAAATACTTAGGGAAAAAATCAGCGAGATACATTCGCCGTTATTCATGATTTTATCCAGCCATACAGCGATTTTTCTTTCTAAATGAAAATTGTTTTCAGGAGATTGAAATGTTGAAAAAACACCACTTTTAAGGGAGAAAACAATAATTAGTTATGGTCAACACTGGAAATGCTCTTCCCCAATAATATGTGTTCAAATTAAAGTTATAAAATGTTTTTAAAAGTTGATACATTTTTGCGATTTTGCTTCTGGAGTAAAACCGCTTTCAGACGAAGCAAATACACTCGCAAATTTGAAATAGCATAATCTTGTAAAATGGAAGCCACAAGAGTAAAAAAATAGATTTTCGGCAATAACAAAAAACTGCACCCAGAGACTGTAAAAAATCTTTCACAGTCTTTACAATTGCACAAATTCTTTCAGGCACAAAACCTCATCCACATTTTATGCAGTTGAAAATCCACAACCAAATTCTTTTGCAAATTCCACATATATTGATACTTTTACTGGGGGGGGGGGGGGGTAACGGAGAGACTGCTTTGAATGAAAAGAATATCCTTGACTTTATATAATTTATCATCAAAGATTCTCTCTAAATTTTTCATTCAAATAAACCTTATCTGGGAATGGGCTGAAGACCTTGTGCTTTAAATTGGGTTCAGTAACTCCTGAAATTGCTATAATTCCGGCTTATCCTGCAATTCTTGTCAATGATATTTTGTCTTCAAGGTCAGGCAAAGAAGAGGGTGTATGCATACACATCAGTTGTGCTGTTGTACATTGTGAAATGTATTTTCTTTTTGTTTTGGTCCCAATATACAGCGTATTTCTATGTTTCCCATTCTGAAATTATTGAATGCATTTGAATGGATTTGGGTTTGGTGGGGAGAGGGTTTGGATGTGGGAATGTTGATTGAACCTTGTGAATGCAGAAAAGCAGAAAATGTAGCTTTATGTTCATTCATTCATTCATTCATTCAATATCCTGGGGCACATATGTTTCTGGATGGAAACAAACTAGCAACGGTTTATGTTGTATTTATATAATGTTTATACATATTTCCTCCCCCACTGCACATAGAAAAAAGTGCCTGAAGCTAGAAAGCATTCTGAAGCAACTGGCATTGCATAGGGACTGGTTGAAAAAAAAAGAGAAACTTTGTTTCCTTCTGCGCAAACGGAATCCCAACTCACAGGTGCGTTCACAGGAGAGTGTTACCAGCGTAAAACCGATCATCTTTAAAATACTATGATCATGCTTCACTTGATCATCTGCACTTTGAATACGATTAGGAACACACACAAAAAATTGAAAAAAACATCGAATTGAATGTAATACAAGTGAAGAAATAAATTGCGATGAATAAATTACAAATGTTGTTGCAACATTTTTGATAACGAGGAATACTAAGGAAATGTAATTTTATTTGATGTGATAAACGAGCAGGAATATATAGTACGTGGGAATGAAATTCCAGAATAAATTTTTTATGCTGCTGCAAGATAACTTCAAAATCAAAAGTGCTTTTCCTCTCTAATGTTCTGTATCACAAAATCTGAATTTCAAATAAAATAAATTGGGATATTCATCTAAAAAACGCAAGAATGTAATTGAGAGTAGGGACTGCATGCAGATGTAACCGACATTAAGATAGTAATTATAGAAATAAAACTTTGCAAGTCAATTTCAAAAAAATTTTCCGAATTTCTTCCCCAAGGTCCAACGTTGTTTTTTAATTTGATTCTCGGAGAAAAACTCATAAGATTCAAACAGATTTTCATCTCCAAAGATAAACCTCTTCAAAATGCAAAAATCCTGAAATTTTTTCCAAAATTCGTGATATTTATTCTTAAATGACAGGGGAAGCTCTTTTTCAATTTGAGAAAATCGAAAAAAAACAGAAATTGAACCACAACATTTAATTTGTAAAAATTTCATAAATTGTATCCTCAGCCCATCACTGGGTTAAAATTTGATTATCGAAGAAAAAAGTATGCGAAGGAAACAAATCTGTCATCTCTGAAAATTGCAGGAAAAATGTCCCTGTATAAATGCAGAAAATTTCAAAATTCTGAAAACTTCGGAAACATTTTTTAAATTTTGGTGAAGAACTCTTCGCCTTGATTTTGACAAATTTCGCAGCCCTCATGAGCAGTCATTGAATCCGCGCAAAATCCTTTACAATTGTCTCTAGAACATAAATTTTGCATTCTGATTTTAAAACCCCAATAATTCATCACACAATTGGCAACACTGAAAGACCAGAGAGAAAAAAAACACACACACACAACTCTCGACTCACTATTCTCAACGCTTCCCCACAGCTCAGGAATTTCGCAAAACCAACAAGAACCATTCGCTTAAAAAATAAAAACATGTTCTCCCATGAAAAATCCCGGGAACGGGGACCAAAAGAAACACAGCTTCTCGCCTGAAAACAGGTGAGAAACACGAACAGGTGGGAATAAGGAAATCGTAAAAAAAAAAGAACTGCTTTTATCGATGAAATCTAGACTTTCTTTTCTTCCCTTCATTATCCGTTTCTCACAGTTCCGCGATTACACAAGATTTCCGCGAGGTTTATTCGGATTCGAACAAGACAAAAAGATGCGAAAATTCGTTCAAGGTATTTTCAAAATACGGCACGAAATTTTCGGCTCCAAGTTTCGATGATGAAAATTTTCCTGGAGGTTTTAAAAATTTAGAAAGATCCGTAAAAAAAATTGTTACAATTCTGTATTTTGCCAAGAAAATTTCTGAAGAAAATGCGAGAGCCTTCATATATTCTTCGGTGGAGACATTCACCGAACAAAGTGCTTCTGTGCGAGTTTTAAAATTCACTGGCGCTTTTTGCGATGCCAAGACTGCCTTTTAAAATTGAAACCTCACCATAGATAAAAGTCCAGATACCCTGAGTCAGCAATGAAGAAAACAAAACATGCGCTGTTTTCATATCTGAAAAGCCACTTGAACTCGACGAATGGCGCAAAATCTGGGTTTGTTCCTAACTTCCCCTATCAGGAAAAAACAATTCAACATCACGTACTGTAATTGCAAATCTGGCCTCGTTCCAAATTTCCCCTATCAAGTTTAATTTGTAAATATTTTTGAATTCTAAAAAGGTGGGTCATAACTTTTCGGGAGCTTAAAACAGTGTAGTACGTTTTTGTGTGGCAACCCTGTAAAGATTGAATCGTTAGTGTAAATTCC